ACTCGCCTCGTAGCGTTTGGTTGTCTGTGCGCGCGCAATGCACGCACGCAGACAGACTAACCTGTGGTGTTTTTTTTCCCACCGTCACCCCCCCACGCGCCGTGCGTGGATGTTGCTCGATTGCGTGCGACGGACCCTGTGGGTTTTGCACTGCCTCGTTGTGGGTGACGGCGTGGGTCGCCGTCGTCTTTCATTCGTCGCCGCTGCTGTTTTGTTAACGCTAAGCGAGGCCCCACCGCTTTGCGGCTGGCAGCCTGAATAAAAGTGGCTAAGAAGTCAAAAGTCTCCCCGTGGGTCTCTGTGTCTCTCTCTCCCCGTGTCTCTTGTGTGTTTGTCTCTCTCCCCGTGTCTCTGTCTCTCTCCCCCTGTCTCTCTCCCCGTCTGTCTCTCTCCCCGTGTCTGTGTCTCTCTCTCCCCGTGTCTCTGTCTGTCTCTCTCTCCCCGTGTCTCTCTCTCCCCGTGTCTCTGTGTCTCTCTCGCCCCCTGTCTCTCTCCCCGTGTCTCTGTCTCTCTCTCTCCCTGTCTCTCTCCCCCTGTCTGTGTGTCTCTCTCTCCCCGTGTCTCTGTGTCTGTCTCTCTCTCCCCGTGTCTCTCTCCCCGTGTCTGTGTCTCTCTCCCCGTGTCTCTGTGTGTCTCTCTCCCCGTGGTCGCGTTAATTTTTGCTCCGGGTCCTCCGGTCTTCCCCTCCACATTAAGAGACGCGCGTTTGGACTATTTAAATTATTTTCAGCTATAAATGTCCAAATGATAACAAGGCCGCTTTGTTGAGCCATCGTTTGTGGCCGGGTGGCTTCTGAAGAATCGGTGAACATCTCAGTGGGCTCTGCCTGGTAGTGATGATGCTGATGATTTAGTTTTTTGTACGTGTTTGGGCGATTTGTTTAACTTTCTTATACGTTGCATTACCATTCTTTTTGCATCATTGCCTGTTGCTGCAACGTCCTGAACCCGTTCCACCGACTGGACATCTGTGGAACGGCCCATCGGATTCCTCCTGCAGCTCAAATAAAGATGCTGACACGCAAAGCAAAACACGATCCTACGCGTAGCCCTCAACGAGCAGTATCAACAGCAGCGGCGCCTATGAAGAGTGAGTGGTGAGTGACGAAGTGAGTGAGTGGTGAGTGAGTGACGGAGTGAGTGAGTGGTGAGTGACGGAGTGAGTGAGTGGTGAGTGAGTGACGGAGTGAGTGAGTGGTGAGTGACGGAGTGGTGAGTGACGAAGTGAGTGAGTGACGGAGTGGTGAGTGACGAAGTGAGTGACGAAGTGAGTGGTGAGTGACGAAGTGAGTGAGTGACGAAGTGAGTGAGTGGTGAGTGAGTGACGGAGTGAGTGGTGAGTGACGAAGTGAGTGGAGAGTGGATACTGTGTGCGCGCGTGCAACTGCGTGCGTCACCGTGTCACGTGTCACCGTGCGTCACCGTGTGTGTGTCACTGTGTGTGTCACCACGTGTGGGGAGCGATAGTGTAGCGGTTAGCGCGCTGCGCTATGAACCTGGCGACACGAGTTGGATTCCCGCTCACGGCCAACACCAGTGACGATTATCTGGTCCCGGGCCTCCCCTAGGTCGACTCAGCCTCAAATGAGTACCTGGTGCGGTGTGCAAACATTGCCACTAGGGAGACAAAGGCGGTCGGGCGTGGTGCTGGCCAACCACCCCCACGTGTACCGTTCCGGCCTTCATAGGTGCCACTCGCTAACAGCACTTGCCCCTACAGTCCGTTACAGGCTATATGGGGGATCTTTGTCACCGTGTGTGTCACCATGTGTGTCACTGTGTGTCACTGCGTGTGTCACTGTGTATTGACCTGGTCAAGGCCTATGATACCATCAGTAGGCCTGGGCTCTGGGTTGTTCTTCATGCTTTCGGAGTCCCTGACCCTCTGCTCACGATCATCAAGGACCTTCATGATGGTGAGCGGGCCCGGGTAAAACTACGTGGCCGGGAGTCAGAGCCATTCCCTGTACACCTTGGGGTGCGACAGGGATGTCCTCTGGCTCCAACATTATTTAACATCTATTTTGACCACATAGTTCGTGAAGCCTTCAATAGCTGTACGGGGGGAATCTCCACATGGTACAGATATGTGAGGCTGATCGATGCCCTGGTGCGGTCAAGGGATGGCTCCCTATTGCTCAACCACGTTATGTATGCTGATGATTTGGTAATAGCTGCTCAGTCAGAGGAGGAGTTGGAGACGCTGCTGCTGAGACTGGAGCGTGCCACTAAGAGGTGGGGCCTTACCATCAGCCCCACCAAAACTAAGCACCTGCCTGGGTATTTTGTACCATCGGACACTCCACCCCCACAACTCCCGATCGGTGATGGGGCAGTTGTGGAGAGAGTGGAGAGTTTCCCATACCTGGGCAGTGTGCTTATGACCGGCTCCAGTTTAACAGCAGAGGTCTCACTCCGAATCAGTCGAGCGGCAATATCTTTTCATCGGCTGCGTAACGCTGTGTGGAAGCTACCTGGTCTGTCGCTCCGCACTAAGCTTCAGGTCTTCTCGGCCACGGTCATTCCCTCCCTTCTCTACGCTTGCGAAACGTGGACCCCCCTAATGGAACATCTTCGCCGGTTAGAAACATTTAGGCTGGCCTGCCTACGATCCATCCTGGGTTTAACCAGACTGGATTGTGTGAGGAGCTCACAAATCCTTGAAAGATCTGGGCAGGGTCCCATCGGTGAGCTCCTCCGGCGGGCAAGGCTGCTGTGTGTGTGTGTGTCACTGTGTGTGTCACTGTGTGTGTGTCACTGTGTGTGTGTGTCACTGTGTGTGTGTGTCACTGTGTGTGTGTGTCACTGTGTGTGTCACTGTGTGTGTGTCACTGTGTGTGTGTCACTGTGTGTGTGTCACTGTGTGTGTGTGTCACTGTGTGTGTGTCACTGTGTGTGTGTCACTGTGTGTGTGTCACTGTGTGTGTGTGTCACTGTGTGTGTGTGTGTGTCACTGTGTGTGTGTGTGTGTCACTGTGTGTGTGTGTCACTGTGTGTGTCACTGTGTGTGTGTCACTGTGTGTGTGTCACTGTGTGTGTGTCACTGTGTGTGTGTGTGTCACTGTGTGTGTGTGTGTCACTGTGTGTGTGTGTGTCACTGTGTGTGTGTCACTGTGTGTGTGTGTGTGTCACTGTGTGTGTGTGTGTGTCACTGTGTGTGTGTCACTGTGTGTGTGTGTCACTGTGTGTGTGTCACTGTGTGTGTGTCACTGTGTGTGTGTGCCACTGTGTGTGTGTGTCACTGTGTGTGTGTGTCACTGTGTGTGTCACTGTGTGTGTGTGTGTCACTGTGTGTGTGTGTCACTGTGTGTGTCACTGTGTGTGTGTCACTGTGTGTGTGTCACTGTGTGTGTGTGTCACTGTGTGTGTGTCACTGTGTGTGTCACTGTGTGTGTGTCACTGTGTGTGTGTGTGTCACTGTGTGTGTGTGTGTCACTGTGTGTGTGTGTGTCACTGTGTGTGTGTCACTGTGTGTGTGTGTGTGTCACTGTGTGTGTGTGTGTGTGTCACTGTGTGTGTGTCACTGTGTGTGTGTGTCACTGTGTGTGTGTCACTGTGTGTGTGTCACTGTGTGTGTGTCACTGTGTGTGTGTGTCACTGTGTGTGTGTCACTGTGTGTGTGTCACTGTGTGTGTGTCACTGTGTGTGTGTGTGTCACTGTGTGTGTCACTGTGTGTGTGTGTCACTGTGTGTGTGTCACTGTGTGTGTGTCACGGTGTGTGTCACTGTGTGTGTCACTGTGTGTGTGTCACTGTGTGTGTGTGTCACTGTGTGTGTGTGTCACCGTGTGTGTGTGTCACCGTGTGTGTGTGTGTCACTGTGTGTGTGTCACTGTTTGTGTGTGTCACTGTGTGTGTGTGTCACTGTGTGTGTGTGTCACTGTGTGTCACTGTGTGTGTGTCACTGTGTGTGTCACTGTGTGTGTGTCACTGTGTGTGTGTGTCACTGTGTGTGTGTGTGTCACTGTGTGTGTGTCACTGTGTGTGTCACTGTGTGTGTGTCACTGTGTGTGTGTGTCACTGTGTGTGTGTGTGTCACTGTGTGTGTGTCACTGTGTGTGTCACTGTGTGTGTGTCACTGTGTGTGTGTGTCACTGTGTGTGTGTGTGTCACTGTGTGTGTGTCACTGTGTGTGTGTCACTGTGTGTGTGTGTGTCACTGTGTGTGTGTCACTGTGTGTGTGTGTCACTGTGTGTGTGTGTCACTGTGTGTGTGTGTCACTGTGTGTGTGTGTGTCACTGTCTGTGTGTGTCACTGTGTGTGTCACTGTGTGTGTCACTGTGTGTGTGTGTCACTGTGTGTGTCACTGTGTGTGTGTGTCACTGTGTGTGTGTGTCACTGTGTGTGTGTGTCACTGTGTGTGTCACTGTGTGTGTGTCACTGTGTGTGTGTGTCACTGTGTGTGTCACTGTGTGTGTGTCACTGTGTGTGTGTGTGTCACTGTGTGTGTGTCACTGTGTGTGTGTGTCACTGTGTGTGTGTCACTGTGTCACTGTGTGTGTCACTGTGTGTGTGTCACTGTGTGTGTGTGTGTCACTGTGTGTGTGTGTGTCACTGTGTGTGTGTGTGTGTGTCACTGTGTGTGTGTGTCACTGTGTGTGTGTGTCACTGTGTGTGTGTGTCACTGTGTGTGTGTGTCACTGTGTGTGTGTGTCACTGTGTGTGTGTGTCACTGTGTGTGTGTGTCACTGTGTGTGTGTGTCACTGTGTGTGTGTCACTGTGTGTGTGTCACTGTGTGTGTGTGTCACTGTGTGTGTCACTGTGTGTGTCACTGTGTGTGTCACTGTGTGTGTGTGTCACTGTGTGTGTGTCACTGTGTGTGTCACTGTGTGTGTCACTGTGTGTGTCACTGTGTGTGTGTCACTGTGTGTGTCACTGTGTGTGTGTCACTGTGTGTGTGTCACTGTGTGTGTCACTGTGTGTGTGTCACTGTGTGTGTGTGTCACTGTGTGTGTGTGTCACTGTGTGTGTGTGTGTCACTGTGTGTGTGTCACTGTGTGTGTGTCACTGTGTGTGTGTGTCACTGTGTGTGTGTGTGTCACTGTGTGTGTGTGTGTCACTGTGTGTGTGTCACTCCACGCGAGAGCCCCGCCCAGCGTCCCCCTCCCCTCTCCGCTCCATCTCGGCGTGAATCTTGGCGAGGTCGGAGCGTGCCGCTGTCTCCCGCTGGGCCTGGGAGTGCCGGGCAGCCTTCAGGTCCATGGCCACCCACGGTGGCCGCTCACCGCGCCGCTCACCGCGCCGCTCACCACGCCGCTCACCGCGCCGCTCACCGCGCCGCTCACCGCGCCGCTCACCGCGCCGCTCACCACCGCCGTGCCCGCGGGGGGCGGTGGGGGGGGGCGGGGAGGGAGGCCCCCCGCAGCTCCGAGCCCCAGCGTCGAGACCACGGACGGGGGAGCATCTCCACCACGGTCTACACGGGGACACGGGGAGGGAGACACGGGGAGAGAGACACGGGGAGAGAGAGAGAGACACACGGGGTGAGAGAGAGACACGGGGAGAGAGAGAGAGAGACACGGGGAGAGAGACACGGTGAGAGAGACACAGGGAGAGAGACACGGTGAGAGAGAGACACGGGGAGAGAGAGAGAGAGACACGGGGAGAGAGACACGGGGAGAGAGACACGGTGAGAGAGACACGGGGAGAGAGACACGGGGAGAGAGAGACACGGGGAGAGAGAGACACGGGGAGAGAGAGACACGGGGAGAGAGACACGGGGAGAGAGACACGGGGAGAGAGAGACACGGGGAGAGAGACACGGGGAGAGAGACACGGGGAGAGAGAGACACACGGGGAGAGAGAGACACGGGGAGGGAGACACGGGGAGAGAGACACGGGGAGAGAGACACGGGGAGAGAGACACGGGGAGAGAGACACGGGGAGAGAGAGAGACACGGGGAGAGAGAGACACGGGGAGAGAGACACGGGGAGAGAGACACGGGGAGAGAGACACGGGGAGAGAGAGACACGGGGAGAGAGAGACACGGGGAGAGAGACACGGGGAGAGAGAGACACACGGGGAGAGAGAGACACGGGGAGGGAGACACGGGGAGAGAGACACGGGGAGAGAGACACGGGGAGAGAGACACGGGGAGAGAGACACGGGGAGAGAGACACGGGGGGAGAGAGAGACACGGGGGGAGAGAGAGACACGGGGGGAGAGAGAGACACGGGGAGAAAGACACGGTGAGAGAGACACAGGGTGAGAGAGACACACGGGGAGAGAGACACAGGGTGAGAGAGAGACACGGGGAGAGAGACACGGGGAGGGAGACACGGGGAGAGAGACACGGGGAGAGAGACACGGGGAGAGAGAGACACGGGGAGAGAGACACGGGGACACGGGGGGAGAGAGAGACACGGGGAGAGAGACACGGGGAGAGAGACACGGGGAGAGAGACACGGGGAGAGAGAGACACGGGGAGAGAGACACGGGGACACGGGGGGAGAGAGAGACACGGGGAGAGAGACACGGGGAGAGAGACACGGTGAGAGAGACACGGGGAGAGAGACACGGGGAGAGAGAGACACGGGGAGAGAGAGACACGGGGAGAGAGACACGGGGAGAGAGAGACACGGGGAGAGAGAGACACGGGGAGAGAGAGACACGGGGAGAGAGAGACAGGGGGAGAGAGAGACACGGGGAGAGAGAGACACGGGGGAGAGGAGAGAGACACGGGGAGAGAGACACGGGGGGAGAGAGAGACACGGGGGGAGAGAGAGACACGGGGGGAGAGAGAGACACGGGGAGAGAGACACGGTGAGAGAGACACAGGGTGAGAGAGACACACGGGGAGAGAGACACAGGGTGAGAGAGAGACACGGGGAGAGAGACACGGGGAGAGAGACACGGGGAGAGAGACACGGGGAGAGAGACACGGGGAGAGAGACACGGGGAGAGAGACACGGGGAGAGAGAGACACGGGGAGAGAGACACGGGGAGAGAGACACGGGGGGAGAGAGAGACACGGGGGGAGAGAGAGACACGGGGGGAGAGAGAGACACGGGGAGAAAGACACGGTGAGAGAGACACAGGGTGAGAGAGACACACGGGGAGAGAGACACAGGGTGAGAGAGAGACACGGGGAGAGAGACACGGGGAGAGAGACACGGGGAGAGAGACACGGGGAGAGAGACACGGGGAGAGAGACACGGGAGAGAGACACGGGGATAGAGACACGGGGAGAGAGACATGGGGAGAGAGAGAGACACGGGGAGAGAGAGAGACACGGGGAGAGAGAGAGACACGGGGAGAGAGAGAGACACGGGGAGGGAGACACGGGGAGGGAGACACGGGGAGGGAGACACGGGGACACAGGGTGAGAGACACGGGGTGAGAGACACGGGGTGAGAGAAAGACACGTGGTGAGAGACACGTGGTGAGAGAGACAGAGAGAGACAGGTGGGGTGAGAGAGAGACACGTGGTGAGACAGAGAGTGAGACAGAGAGAGAGACAGAGAGAGTGAGGAGGAGGTATTGTCACCGTGTTCACGGGGACTGCGTTGCCGCTGGGCGTGGGTGTGGGGGCCGCCCCCCCTCCCCCCGAGTCCGGGAAGCAGCTGTAGCTGGGGAGGGCGTCACGCAAGTAGCTCAGATCGTCGTCCAAACGTTGTTCCAGGCGCAGGACCTCGATCAGGTGCACGCGCGGATTGTACAACTCCACCACCAACTCCACGCCTGCAAAGGCAACAACTATCGCTCAACTACCACACAACTATCACTCAACTACCACACAACTACCACTCAACTACCGCTTAACTACCTCAACTACCACTCAACTACCACACAACTACTAATCAACTATCACACAACTATCACACAACTATCACACAACTATCACACAACTATCACACAACTACCACACAACTATCACACAACTATCACACAACTACCACACAACTATCACACAACTACCACACAACTATCACACAACTATCACACAACTATCACACAACTATCACACAACTATCACACAACTATCACACAACTATCACACAACTACCACACAACTATCACACAACTACCACACAACTATCACACAACTATCACACAACTATCACACAACTACCACACAACTACCACTCAACTATCACACAACTACCACTCAACTACCACACAACTATCACACAACTATCACACAACTATCACACAACTATCACACAACTACCACACAACTATCACACAACTATCACACAACTACCACACAACTATCACACAACTACCACACAACTATCACACAACTATCACTCAACTACCACTCAACTACCACTCAACTACCGCACAACTACCGCACAACTATCACACAACTACCACACAACTATCACACAACTACCACACAACTATCACACAACTACCACACAACTATCACACAACTATCACTCAACTACCACACAACTATCACTCAACTATTACACAATTACCACTCAACTACCACACAACTATCACTCAACTATTACACAATTACCACTCAACTATCACACAACTACCACTCAACTACCACTCAACTACCACAGAACCACCCCTCAACTTCCACACAATCACAACAACCACAACTACCACTCAACTACAACTACCACTCAACCACAACAACTATCAACAACTAACACTCAACCACAACAACTATCAACAACTAACACTCAATCACAACAACTATCAACAACTACCACTCAGTCACAACAACTATCAACAACTACCACTCAGTCACAACAACTATCAACAACTAACACTCAGTCACAACAACTGTCAACAACTATCACTCAGTCACAACAACTATCAACAACTAACACTCAACCACAACAACTATCCACAACAACCACTCAACCACAACAACTATCAACAACTACCACTCAGTCACAACAACTATCAACAACTAACACTCAGTCACAACAACTATCAACAACTAACACTCAGTCACAACAACTATCAACAACTAACACTCAGTCACAACAACTATCAACAACTAACACTCAACCACAACAACTATCAACAACTACCACTCAGTCACAACAACTATCAACAACTATCACTCAGTCACAACAACTATCAACAACTAACACTCAGTCACAACAACTATCAACTATCACTCAGTCACAACAACTATCAACAACTAACACTCAACCACAACAACTATCAAAAACTAACACTCAGTCACAACAACTATCAACAACTATCACTCAGTCACAACAACTATCAACAACTAACACTCAGTCACAACAACTATCAACAACTAACACTCAGTCACAACAACTATCAACAACTATCACTCAGTCACAACAACTATCAACAACTAACACTCAGTCACAACAACTATCAACAACTACCACTCAACCACAACAACTATCAACAACTAACACTCAGTCACAACAACTATCAACAACTAACACTCAGTCACAACAACTATCAACAACTATCACTCAGTCACAACAACTATCAACAACTACCACTCAGTCACAACAACTATCAACAACTACCACTCAACCACAACAACTATCCACAACTAACACTCAACCACAACTATCACTCAACCACAACAACTATCAACAACTACCACTCAGTCACAACAACTATCAACAACTACCACTCAGTCACAACAACTATCAACAACTATCACTCAACCACAACAACTATCAACAACTATCACTCAACCACAACAACTATCAACAACTACCACTCAGTCACAACAACTATCAACAACTATCACTCAACCACAACAACTATCAACAACTATCACTCAACCACAACAACTATCACTCAACCACAACAACTATCAACAACTACCACTCAGTCACAACAACTATCAACAACTACCACTCAGTCACAACAACTATCAACAACTATCACTCAACCACAACAACTATCAACAACTACCACTCAGTCACAACAACTATCAACAACTATCACTCAGTCACAACAACTATCAACAACTACCACTCAGTCACAACAACTATCAACAACTATCACTCAGTCACAACAACTATCAACAACTAACACTCAACCACAACAATTATCAACAACTACCACTCAACCACAACAACTATCAACAACTAACACTCAGTCACAACAACTATCAACAACTACCACTCAGTCACAACAACTATCAACAACTATCACTCAGTCACAACAACTATCAACAACTAACACTCAGTCACAACAACTATCAACAACTACCACTCAGTCACAACAACTATCTACAACTACCACTCAGTCACAACAACTATCAACAACTAACACTCAACCACAACAACTATCAACAACTAACACTCAGTCACAACAACTATCAACAACTAACACTCAGTCACAACAACTATCAACAACTATCACTCAGTCACAACAACTATCAACAACTACCACTCAGTCACAACAACTATCAACAACTATCACTCAACCACAACAACTATCCACAACTAACAAACAGTCACAACAACTATCAACAACTATCACTCAGTCACAACAACTATCAACAACTAACACTCAACCACAACAACTATCAACAACTATCACTCAACCACAACAACTATCAACAACTAACACTCAGTCACAACAACTATCAACAACACTCAGTCACAACAACTATCAAGAACTACCACTCAACCACAACAACTATCAACAACTAACACTCAACCACAACTATCAACAACTAACACTCAGTCACAACAACTATCAACAACTAACACTCAGTCACAACAACTATCAACAACTAACACTCAGTCACAACAACTATCAACAACTACCACTCAGTCACAACAACTATCAACAACTAACACTCAGTCACAACTATCAACAACTATCACTCAGTCACAACAACTATCAACAACTAACACTCAGTCACAACAACTATCAACAACTATCACTCAACCACAACAAGTATCAACAACTATCACTCAGTCACAACAACTATCAACAACTAACACTCAACCACAACAACTATCAACAACTAACACTCAGTCACAACAACTATCAACAACTAACACTCAGTCACAACAACTATCAACAACTATCACTCAGTCACAACAACTATCAACAACTAACACTCAGTCACAACAACTATCAACAACTAACACTCAGTCACAACAACTATCAACAACTACCACTCAGTCACAACAACTATCAACAACTACCACTCAGTCACAACAACTATCAACAACTACCACTCAGTCACAACAACTATCAACAACTATCACTCAACCACAACAACTATCAACAACTAACACTCAGTCACAACAACTATCAAGAACTATCACTCAGTCACAACAACTATCAACAACTATCACTCAGTCACAACAACTATCAACAACTATCACTCAGTCACAACAACTATCAACAACTAACACTCAGTCACAACAACTATCAACAACTATCACTCAGTCACAACAACTATCAACAACTATCACTCAGTCACAACAACTATCAACAACTACCACTCAACCACAACAACTATCAACAACTAACACTCAGTCACAACAACTATCAACAACTACCACTCAACCACAACAACTATCAACAACTAACACTCAGTCACAACAACTATCACTCAACCACAACAACTATCAACAACTAACACTCAGTCACAACAACTATCAACAACTACCACTCAACCACAACAACTATCAACAACTACCACTCAGTCACAACAACTATCAACAACTAACACTCAGTCACAACAACTATCAACAACTACCACTCAGTCACAACAACTATCTACAACTACCACTCAGTCACAACAACTATCAACAACTAACACTCAACCACAACAACTATCAACAACTAACACTCAGTCACAACAACTATCAACAACTAACACTCAGTCACAACAACTATCAACAACTATCACTCAGTCACAACAACTATCAACAACTACCACTCAGTCACAACAACTATCAACAACTATCACTCAACCACAACAACTATCCACAACTAACAAACAGTCACAACAACTATCAACAACTATCACTCAGTCACAACAACTATCAACAACTAACACTCAACCACAACAACTATCAACAACTATCACTCAACCACAACAACTATCAACAACTAACACTCAGTCACAACAACTATCAACAACACTCAGTCACAACAACTATCAAGAACTACCACTCAACCACAACAACTATCAACAACTAACACTCAACCACAACTATCAACAACTAACACTCAGTCACAACTATCAACAACTAACACTCAGTCACAACAACTATCAACAACTACCACTCAGTCACAACAACTATCAACAACTACCACTCAGTCACAACAACTATCAACAACTAACACTCAGTCACAACTATCAACAACTATCACTCAGTCACAACAACTATCAACAACTAACACTCAGTCACAACAACTATCAACAACTATCACTCAACCACAACAAGTATCAACAACTATCACTCAGTCACAACAACTATCAACAACTAACACTCAACCACAACAACTATCAACAACTAACACTCAGTCACAACAACTATCAACAACTAACACTCAGTCACAACAACTATCAACAACTACCACTCAGTCACAACAACTATCAACAACTACCACTCAGTCACAACAACTATCAACAACTATCACTCAACCACAACAACTATCAACAACTACCACTCAGTCACAACAACTATCAACAACTATCACTCAGTCACAACAACTATCAACAACTATCACTCAGTCACAACAACTATCAACAACTACCACTCAACCACAACAACTATCAACAACTAACACTCAGTCACAACAACTATCAACAACTACCACTCAACCACAACAACTATCAACAACTAACACTCAGTCACAACAACTATCAACAACTATCACTCAACCACAACAACTATCAACAACTAACACTCAGTCACAACAACTATCAACAACTACCACTCAACCACAACAACTATCAACAACTACCACTCAGTCACAACAACTATCAACAACTAACACTCAGTCACAACAACTATCAACAACTACCACTCAGTCACAACAACTATCTACAACTACCACTCAGTCACAACAACTATCAACAACTAACACTCAACCACAACAACTATCAACAACTAACACTCAGTCACAACAACTATCAACAACTAACACTCAGTCACAACAACTATCAACAACTATCACTCAGTCACAACAACTATCAACAACTACCACTCAGTCACAACAACTATCAACAACTATCACTCAACCACAACAACTATCCACAACTAACAAACAGTCACAACAACTATCAACAACTATCACTCAGTCACAACAACTATCAACAACTAACACTCAACCACAACAACTATCAACAACTATCACTCAACCACAACAACTATCAACAACTAACACTCAGTCACAACAACTATCAACAACTACCACTCAGTCACAACAACTATCAACAACTAACACTCAGTCACAACTATCAACAACTATCACTCAGTCACAACAACTAACACTCAGTCACAACAACTATCAACAACTATCACTCAACCACAACAAGTATCAACAACTATCACTCAGTCACAACAACTATCAACAACTATCACTCAACCACAACAAGTATCAACAACTATCACTCAGTCACAACAACTATCAACAACTAACACTCAACCACAACAACTATCAACAACTAACACTCAGTCACAACAACTATCAACAACTAACACTCAGTCACAACAACTATCAACAACTATCACTCAGTCACAACAACTATCAACAACTATCACTCAGTCACAACAACTATCAAGAACTATCACTCAGTCACAACAACTATCAACAACTATCACTCAGTCACAACAACTATCAACAACTATCACTCAGTCACAACAACTATCAACAACTATCACTCAGTCACAACAACTATCAACAACTACCACTCAACCACAACAACTATCAACAACTAACACTCAGTCACAACAACTATCAACAACTACCACTCAACCACAACAACTATCAACAACTAACACTCAGTCACAACAACTATCAACAACTATCACTCAACCACAACAACTATCAACAACTAACACTCAGTCACAACAACTATCAACAACTACCACTCAACCACAACAACTATCAACAACTACCACTCAGTCACAACAACTATCAACAACTAACACTCAGTCACAACAACTATCAACAACTACCACTCAACCACAACAACTATCAACAACTAACACTCAGTCACAACAACTATCAACAACTAACACTCAACCACAACAACTATCAACAACTATCACTCAGTCACAACAACTATCAACAACTATCACTCAACCACAACAACCACCTCACTGTCCCTGTGTCCCTGCTGTGTCCCACCGTGTTCCCGTGTCCCACCCTGTCCCCCTGTCCCCGTGTCCCCATGTCTCCCAGTCCCCGTGTCTCTATGTCTCCGTGTCCCACCCTGTCCCCGTGTCTCCGTGTCTCTGTGTCCCCGTGTTTCTATGTCCCCGTGTCTCCCAGTCTCCGTGTCCCCGTGTCCCCGTGTCCCACCCTGTCCCCGTGTCCCACCCTGTCTCCGTGTCCCCGTGTCTCCGTGTCTCACCCTGTCCTTCGATGACATTCCGCAGGGTGGCCGTGGCCCTGTGTCCCACCCTGTCCCCGTGTCCCTGTGTCCCCGTGTCCCACCCTGTCTCCGTGTCCCCGTGTCCCACCCTGTCCCCGTGTCTCCGTGTCCCCGTGTCCCACCCTATCCCCGTGTCCCCGTGTCCCCGGTGTCTCTGTGTCTCCGTGTCTCACCCTGTCCTTCGATGACATTCCGCAGGGTGGCCGTGGCCCCCAGGCCACTGCCGGAGCGTTTGAGACAAATCCCCACAAAGCGGCGGACACGCCCAGGAGACAGCACGTCGGACAACGTCACGGCAAGCACGCTGCCTGCACGGGGACAGAGACACGGGGACACACGGGGACACGGGGACACGGGGACAGAGACACGGGGTCACAGAGACACGGGGACAGAGAGACACGGGGACACAGAGACACGGGGACACAGAGACACGGGGACAGAGACACGGGGACACGGGGACACGGAGACACGGAGACACGGGAACAGAGACACGGGAACATGGGGACACGGAGACACGGGAACAGAGACACGGGGACACGGGGACAGGGGGACAGAGACACGGGGACACGGAGACACGGAGACACGGGGACAGAGACACGGTGAGACACGGGGACAGAGACACGGGGACACGGGGTCAGAGACACGGGGTCAGAGACACGGGGACAGAGACACGGGGACAGAGACACGGGGACACGGGGATAGGGGGACAGAGACACGGGGTCAGAGACACGGGGACAGAGACACGGGGACACGGAGACAGAGACACGGGGACAGAGACACGGGGACAGAGACACGGGGACACGGAGACAGAGACACGGGGACAGAGACACGGGGACAGAGACACGGGGACAGAGACACGGGGACAGAGACACGGGGACAGAGACACGGGGACAGAGACACGGGGACAGAGACACAGGGACACGGGGACACGGGGTCAGAGACACGGGGACACAGAGACACGGTGACTCAGAGACACGGTGACTCAGAGACACGGGGACAGAGACACGGGGACACGGGGACAGAGACACGGGGTCAGAGACACGGGGACAGAGACACGGGGACAGAGACACGGGGACAGAGACACGGGGACAGAGACACGGGGACAGAGACACGGGGACACGGGGACAGAGACACGGAGACAGAGACACAGAGACACGGGGACAGAGACACGGGGAGAGAGAGCCACACACGTATTCACCGCTAAACACTCAAACATCCATCAGTCGTGGTGTGTGCCTGAGTCTGTGTCTGCTACGGAACATCTGGGCTGGCCCTGCCTACGATCCACCCCGGGTTTAACCTGCAGACTGCCTCAGTGTGAGCAGCTGACACATCCTTGATAGATCTGGGACACAGTCCCATCCACCATCGTGTCTCTCTCTCTCTCTCCGTGTCTCTGTCTCTCTCTCAGTGTCTCTGTGTCTCTCTCTCTCTCTCCGTGTCTCTGTGTGTCTCTCTCTCTCAGTGTCTCCGTATCTCTCTCTCTCTCAGTGTCTCTGTGTCTTTCTCTCTCTCCGTGTCTCTGTGTGTCTCTCTCTCAGTGTCTCCGTATCTCTCTCAGTGTCTCCGTGTCTGTCTCCGTGTCTCTCTCTGTCTCCGTATCTCTCTGTCTCCGTGTCTCTCTCTCTCAGTGTCTCTCTATCTGTCTCCGTGTCTCTCTGTCTCCGTATCTCTCTCAGTGTCTCCGTGTCTCTGGCTCCGTGTCTCTCTCTGTCTCCGTATCTCTCTGTCTCCGTGTCTCTCTCTCTCAGTGTCTCTCTATCTGTCTCCGTGTCTCTCTGTCTCCGTGTCTCTGTGTCTCTCTCTCTCTCTCAGTGTCTCCATATCTCTCTCTGTCTAAAAAGTCTCTGTGTCTCTCTCTCTCTCAGTGTCTCTCTGTCTCCGTGTCTCTGTGTGTCTCTCTCTCTCTCAGTGTCTCCGTGTCTCTGTGTCTCTCTCTCTCTGTGTCTCCGTGTCTCTGTGTCTCTCTCTGTGTCTCCGTGTCTCTGTGTCTCTCTCTCTCTCTCAGTGTCTCCGTATCTCTCTCTGTCTCTGTGTCTCCGTATCTCTCAGTGTCTCCGTGTCTCTGTGTGTCTCTCTCTCTCTGTCTCCGTGTCTCTCTCTGTCTCAGTGTCTCTCTCTCTGTGTCTCCGTGTCTCTCTCTGTCTCCGTGTCTCTCTCTGTCTCCGTGTCTCTGTGTCTCTCTCTCTCTCAGTGTCTCACCGGCATAGAAATCGGGGATAGCCAGGAATTGTCTCCGTGTTTCCGTATCTCTGTCTCTCTGTCTCCGTGTATCTCTGTCTCCGTGTCTCCGTGTCTCTGTGTCTCTGTGTCTCTGTCTCTCTGTCTCTCTGTCTCAGCGGGATAGAAGTCGGGGATAGCCAGGACGCGTCTACGTGTCTCCATGTCTGTCTGTCTGTCTCCATGTCTCCGTGTCTCTCTATGTCTCCGTATCTCTCTGTCTCCGTGTCTCTGTGTCTCCGTGTCTCTGTGTCTCCATGTCTATGTTTCCGTATCTCTCTCTGTCTCCGTGTCTCTGTGTCTCCATGTCTCTCACTGTGTCTCCGTGTATCACCGGGATAGAAGTCAGGGATAGCCAGGACGCGTCTACGTCTCTCCATGTCTCTCTCTCTGTCTCCGTGTCTCTCTCTGTCTCCGTGTCTCTGTGTCTCCGTGTCTCTGTGTCTCTGTGTCTCCGTATCTCTCTGTCTCTCTGTCTCCATGTCTCTGTGTCTCCATGCCTCTCTCTCTCTGTCTCACTCTCTGTCTCCGTGTCTCCGTGTCTCCCTGTCTCTCTCTCTGTCTCCGTATCTCTCTCTGTCTCTCTGTCTCCATGTCTCTGTGTCTCCATGCCTCTCTCTCTCTGTCTCACTCTCTGTCTCCGTGTCTCTGTGTCTCCGTGTCTCTCTCTGTTTCTGTGTCTCTTACTGTCTCTCTGTCTCCATGTCTGTGTCTCCGTATCTCTCTCTGTCTCTCTGTCTCCATGTCCCTCTCTCTGTCTCACTCTCTGTCTCCATGTCTCCGTGTCTCTGTGTCTCCATATCTCTCTCTGTCTCCATGTCTCTGTGTCTCCATGTCTCTCTCTCTCTGTCTCTCTGTCTCCGTGTCTCTGTGTCTCCCTGTCTCCATGTCTCTCTCTCTCTGTCTCACTCTCTGTCTCCATGTCTCCGTGTCTCTCTCTATGTCTCCGTATCTCTCTCTGTCTCCGTGTCTCTGTGTCTCCGTATCTCTCTCTGTCTCTCTGTCTCCATGTCTCCATGTCTCCGTGTCTCTCTCTCTCTGTGTCTCCGTATCTCTCTCTGTCTCCGTGTCTCTGTGTCTCCCTGTCTCCGTATCTCTGTCTCTCTGTCTCCATGTCTCTGTGTCTCCATGTCTCTCTCTCTCTGTGTCTCCGTGTCTCACCGGGATAGAAGTCTGGTATAGCCAGGACGCGTCTGCGTCTCTCCATGTCTGTATCTCTGTCTCCATGTCTCCGTGTCTCTCTCTCTGTCTGTGTCTCCGTGTCTCTCTCTCTCTCTGTGTCTCTCTGTCTCCGTGTCTCTCTCTCTGTCTCACTCTGTGTCTCCGTGTCTCTGTGTCTCCGTCTCTCTCTGTCTCCGTGTCTCACCAGGATAGAAGTCAGGGATAGCCAGGACGCGTCTGCGTCTCTCTCTGTCTCTCTCTCTGTCTCCGTGTCTCTGTCTCCGTGTCTCTCTCTGTCTCACCGGGATAGAAGTCTGGGATATCCAGGACGCGTCTACGTCTCTCCATGTCTCTCTCTGTCTCTCTGTCTCCATGTCTCTCTGTCTCCGTGTCTCTGTGTCTCTCTTTCTGTCTCCGTGTCTCACCAGGATAGAAGTCAGGGATATCCAGGACGCGTCTACGTCTCTCCATGTCTCTCTCTCTGTCTCTCTGTGTCTCTGTCTGTGTCTCTGTGTCTCACCAGGATAGAAGTCTGGGATATCCAGGACACGTCTACGTGTCTCCATGTCTCTCTCTCTCTCTCTGTCTCCGTGTCTCACCAGGATAGAAGTCAGGGATATCCAGGACGCGTCTACGTGTCTCCATGTCTCTCTCTGTGTCTCTGTATCTCTCTCTCTCTCTGTCTCCGTGTCTCACCGGGATAGAAGTCAGGGATATCCAGGACGCGTCTGCGTCTCTCCATGTCTCTCTCTCCCTGTCTCTGTGTCTCTCTGTCTCTGTGTCTCTCTCTCTCTCTCCGTGTTTCACCGGGATAGAAGTCAGGGATATCCAGGACACGTCTGCGTCTCTCCATGTCTCTCTCTGTGTCTCTGTCTCCCTGTCTGTGTCTCACCGGGATAGAAGTCAGGGATAGCCAGGACGCGTCTGCGTCTCTCCATGTCTCTGCGCTGGAGGTGGAACAGCAGGGGGTTCGTGCGGCTCGGAGGGCGGATGAACTCAGGGCTGAGTCTCCTGGGAGACACGGGGAGAGAGCGAGAGACAAACAGGGAGACACAGAGAGACACAGAGACAAACAGGGAGAGAGAGACAGGGGGAGAGCGAGAGGCGAACGAGGAGACAGAGAGACACAGAGAGAAAGAGACAAACAGGGAGACAGAGAGACAGAGACAAACGGGGAGACAGAGAGACACAGAGAGAAAGAGACAAACAGGGAGAGACAGGGGGAGAGCGAGAGGCGAACAGAGAGACACAGAGAGACACAGAGAGCGAGAGACAAACAGGGAGACACGGGGAGAGAGCGAGAGACAAACGGGGAGACAGAGAGACACAGAGACAAACAGAGAGAGAGATAGACAGGGAGAGAGCGAGAGACAAACAGGGAGACAGAGAGACACAGAGACAAACAGGGAGACAGAGAGACACAGAGAGACACAGAGAGACACAGAGACAAACAGGGAGAGACAGGGGGAGAGCGAGAGGCGAACAGAGAGACAGAGAGACAAACAGGGAGACAGAGAGACACAGAGACAAACAGGGAGACAGAGAGACACAGAGAGACATAGAGAGACACAGAGACAAACAGGGAGAGACAGGGGGAGAGCGAGAGGCGAACAGAGAGACAGAGAGACAAACAGGGAGACAGAGAGACAGAGACAAACGGGGAGACAGAGAGACACAGAGAGAAAGAGACAAACAGGGAGAGACAGGGGGAGAGCGAGAGGCGAACAGAGAGACACAGAGAGACACAGAGAGCGAGAGACAAACAGGGAGACACGGGGAGAGAGCGAGAGACAAACGGGGAGACAGAGAGACACAGAGACAAACAGAGAGAGAGATAGACAGGGAGAGAGCGAGAGACAAACAGGGAGACAGAGAGACACAGAGACAAACAGGGAGACAGAGAGACACAGAGAGACACAGAGAGACACAGAGACAAACAGGGAGAGACAGGGGGAGAGCGAGAGGCGAACAGAGAGACAGAGAGACAAACAGGGAGACAGAGAGACACAGAGACAAACAGGGAGACAGAGAGACACAGAGAGACATAGAGAGACACAGAGACAAACAGGGAGAGACAGGGGGAGAGCGAGAGGCGAACAGAGAGACAGAGAGACAAACAGGGAGACAGAGAGACACAGAGACAAACAGGGAGACAGAGAGACACAGAGAGACACAGAGACAAACAGGGAGAGACAGGGGGAGAGCGAGAGGCGAACAGAGAGACACAGAGAGACACAGAGAGCGAGAGACGAACAGGGAGACACGGGGAGAGAGCGAGAGACAAACGGGGAGACAGAGAGACACAGAGACAAACAGAGAGAGATAGACAGGGAGAGAGCGAGAGACAAACAGGGAGACAGAGAGACACAGAGACAAACAGGGAGACAGAGAGACACAGAGAGACACAGAGACAAACAGGGAGAGACAGGGGGAGAGCGAGAGACAAACAGAGAGACAGAGAGACAAACAGGGAGACAGAGAGACACAGAGACAAACAGAGAGACAGAGAGACAAACAGGGAGACAGAGAGACACAGAGACAAACAGGGAGAGACAGGGGGAGAGCGAGAGACAAACAGAGAGACAGAGAGAGAGACACGGAGAGAGATGGTTAAGCAAGTTGCCGAAACTGGTCCAGAGTGGGTGTGTGAGTGTGTGTGTGAGTGTGTGTGTGGGTGTGAGTGTGTGTGTGAGTGAGTGTGTGTGTGAGTGTGTGTGAGTGTGTGTGAGTGTGTGAGTGTGTGTGTGTGAGTGTGTGAGTGAGTGCATGTGAGTGAGTGTGTGTGAGTGTGTGAGTGTGTGTGAGTGAGTGTGTGTGTGAGTGAGTGTGTGTGTGTGAGGGTCCGGCAAAACAACCCCCTACCTCCTCGCGGTGCCGGACGGGCAACTCTGTCGTGGACAGCGCTGTGGGGGGAGATCCAATTTTGATTGGCTCCTCCCCTCATGGCATATGTGTCCACCACAGGGGCTAAACGGGGGCTCTGGACGGGTGCGAGGGGCTGGTAACCCCTTCACCTTCAATTAATTACCACGAAACCACGAATTAAACTGAAATATGTAACAAATAAGCTTGTGCCGGAGGCCCCGGGGGGCCAGGCGTCTATGACGTCTCCTGGCCAAACCCCAATTGGCGGAGCCAGGAGATTGAATACCTACCCTCGGGGCTACTCCAGAAACAACGAAAAGCCACTACGGGTGGCCACGTGGAATGTTCGAACGCTCACTGCAGAGGAGAGGCTGCCACTCCTCTGTCGGGAGCTGGACCGGTACCGCCTGGATCTATGCGGCATTCAGGAGGTCCGGTGGACCGGCTCTGGCTCCTGCCACCATGAGGGGTGGACAGTCCTCTACTCGGGGCAGCAGACTGCCAAACAACAGGGTGTGGGTCTTCTTTTGAACAAAAGAATGAAGGGGGCGTGGGAGCGTGGCGGTGAGGTGTGGGAAGCTGTAAGCCCCAGGCTACTTTGGGCTCGCCTTCCCATCAACCGGAGGCGAGGAATGGTGGTCGTGGTTACTTATGCCCCCACCGAAGATGAACATCCGTGGAGGGATGGAGGGATGCAGGCAAAGCCGATGAGTCAGATGCCTTCTATGACCTCCTGTCACAGGTGCTGGCTAAAGTGGCCCCTCGGGATAGAGTCATCATGTTGGGTGACTTCAATGCCCGAGTTGGTCATGATACTGGCACCTGGTCTGGAGTGATTGGAGGGCATGGGCCAGATCAGCTCAATAACAACGGTAGGAGGCTGCTAGATTTTTGTGCAGCCCATGGGCTTGTAATTACCAACACGCTGTTCCGGCATCGGCGCATCCACACAACATCATGGATGCATGCCGGGTCCAAGCAAGAACATCTGCTGGACTACATAGTGACGGACCAGCGAATGCGAGCCCATGTCCTTGACACCAGGACCTACCGTGGAGCTGATCTGCCCTCTGACCATCGACTAGTCATCTGTAAGATGCGCCTGCCATTCTTCCACTCCGGTGGTGGGTGTACACCCAGGACCCCATTCCAACCTAAAGTGGCCTGGTCTCAGTTATCTGATGAAAGTTGCAAGCGAGAATTTCATCATCGCTTGCGGCTGGGATTGGCATCGTCCCCGACTCCTCCTGATGTCGAGGGTAAATGGGCGAGGTTTAGGACTGTGACTCATGCAGCTGCAATGGCTGCTTTGGGTACGCGGTCCAGACCTCCCCAGACACCCTGGCTGACAGAGGAGGTGTTCAGGATGGTTGAGAAAAAGCGACAGGCCCACTGTCATCGGCTACAGAATCCCACGTCAGAGAATGAGGAGGCTTACCGCAGCCTTCGCTCGGAGGTTCGGAGAGCCGTGAGGCGCTGCAAGGATGGGTGGTGGTCGCGGGTTGCTGAGGAGATGGAGTCTGCCTCAGTGGCTCGTGATCACAAATCTCTATTTAACTCCATCAAAAAAGTAACCTGCAGCACCACACCTATTACCATCATTAGGGGAAAAAACGGTGATCCAATTTCCGACCCCCAGGAACAGGTTCGCAGATTTGCTGAGCATTTCTGTGAGGTCCTGGGGGAGGGAAAATCCCGCAGCCAGGAAAACATCGTGGCACAAAGTGAGGATGACCCTGCTGAGGCTGCGGTGCCTCAAATATTGGATGAAGTCACCCCCTGTGAGTGGCTGGCTGAGGTGCCATCTGCTGAGGAAGTATTGAAGGCGATCCGGAGTCTGAGACCAGGAAAGGCAGCGGGCAGAGATGATCTCCCAAGCGAAATGCTGAGGGAGGGTGGCGTTTGTGCACAGACTGCCCTATATGACATCATAACAACAGTCTGGACCACTGGACGAGTTCCGCAGGATTGGAAGGATGCCCTGGTGGTCCCCCTTTTTAAGAAGGGGGACCGCACAGACTGTAACAACTACAGGGGCATCTCACTCCTCAGTGTGCCGGGAAAGGTCCTGGCAAGGATTATTCAGCATCGCCTTGCCAGGCACGCTGAGGAGAGGCTTGCGGAGCCCCAATGCGGTTTCAGGAAAGGGCGGTCCTGCACAGATGCCATATTTTCTGTCCGTCTGCTACAGCAGAGGTGTAGGGAATTCCAACAAGACCTACATCTCTGCTTTATTGACCTGGTCAAGGCCTATGATACCATCAGTAGGCCTGGGCTCTGGGTCGTTCTTCGTGCTTTTGGAGTACCTGACCCTCTGCTCACGATCATTAAGGACCTTCATGATGGTGAGCGGGCCCGGGTAAAACTACGTGGCCGGGAGTCAGAGCCATTCCCTGTACACCTTGGGGTGCGACAGGGATGTCTTCTGGCTCCCACATTATTTAACATCTATTTTGACCACGTAGTTCGTGAAGCCTTCAATAGCTGTACCGGGGGAATCTCCATATGGTACAGATATAATGGGAGGCTAATCGATGCCCGGGTGCGGTCAAGGGATGGCTCCCTATTGCTCAACCACGTTATGTATGCTCATGATTTGGTAATAGCTGCTCAGTCAGAGGAGGAGTTGGAGACGCTGCTGCTGAGACTGGAGCGTGCCACTAAGAGGTGGGGCCTTACCATCAGCCCCACCAAAACTAAGCACCTGCCTGGGTATTTTGTACCATCGGACACTCCACCACCACAACTCCCAATCGGTGATGGGGCAGTTGTGGAGAGAGTGGAGAGTTTCCCATACCTGGGCAGTGTGCTTATGACTGGCTCCAGTTTAACAGCAGAGGTCTCACTCCGAATCAGTCGAGCGGCAATATCTTTTCATCGGTTGCGTAACGCTGTGTGGAAGCTACCTGGTCTGTCGCTCCGCACTACGCTTCAGGTCTTCTCGGCCACGGTCATTCCCTCCCTTCTCTACGCTTGCGAAACGTGGACCCCCCTAATGGAACATCTTCGCCGGTTAGAAACATTTAGGCTGGCCTGCCTACGATCCATCCTGGGTTTAACCAGACTGGATTGTGTGAGGAGCTCACAAATCCTTGAAAGATCTGGGCAGGGTCCCATCGGTGAGCTCCTCCGGCAGGCAAGGCTGCGATGGCTGGGTCATGTAGCCCGCATGCCCAGCCACCGCATGCCGAAACAGCTTTTGTTTGGCCGGATTGAGGGGGCTAAGCGGGCGCGGCACGGGCTAGAGAAGAGATGGAGTGATGTGGTACAGGAGGACGTGGAGCAGAGTGGACTTGCCGATGACTGGTACCAGCGGTGTCAAGATCGGCCTCTGTGGAGGAGGCTCGTGAAGGATGCTACTGGGCAGTTGGAGGCAGTCGCCCTCCAACAACAACGGAGGGCGGAGGAGCGACGCTCACAACAGCGAGCGGAGCGCCGGGTGGCTAAAGCACAGCAGGTTGGCACAGTAGGGGGCACAGGTGGTGCATCAGCCAGTCATCTCGGTCAGTCGACCCGTGGCACCTGGGTCTGCCCCGTGACCTCCTGCCAGCGGGCGTTCGACACTTCACGTGGCCTCAGGGTGCACATAGCCTGGCACAAGCGTCGTGGTGACGTCACCGCCACTTAGTGGCGAATGGCGGTTGTTGTTGTTGTGTGTGAGTGTGTGTGAGTGTGTGTGAGTGTGTGAGTGTGTGAGTGTGTGTGTGTGTGAGTGTGTGTGTGAGTGAGTGAGTGTGTGTGAGTGTGTGTGAGTGTGTGTGTGAGTGTGTGCGTGTGTGAGTGCGTGTGTGAGTGTGTGCGTGTGTGAGTGTGTGTGTGTGTGAGTGCGTGTGTGAGTGTGTGTGAGTGAGTGTGTGGGTGTGTGAGTGTGTGAGTGTGTGTGAGTGTGTGAGTGTGTGTAAGTGTGTGTGTGAGTGTGTGAGTGTGTGTGGGTGTGTGTGTGTGTGTGAGTGTGTGGGTGTGTGTGTGAGTGTGTGTGTGAGTGTGTGTGTGTGTGAGTGTGTGAGTGTGTGGGTGTGTGTGTGTGTGGGTGTGTGAGTGTGTGTGGGTGTGTGAGTGTGTGAGTGTGTGTGAGTGTGTGTGTGAGTGTGTGAGTGTGTGTCCCTATGTCTGTGTGTGTGAGTATGTCCCTATGTCTGTGTGTGTGTGCGAGTATGTTCCTATGTCTGTGTGTGTGTATGTCCCTATGTTTGTGTGTGTGTATGCCCCTATGTCTGTGTGTGTGTATGTCCCTATGTCTGTGTGTGTATGTCCCTATGTCTGTGTGTGTGTGAGTATGTCCCTATGTCTGTGTGTGTATGTCCCTATGTGTGTGTGTGTGAGTATGTCCCTATGTCTGTGTGTGTGTGAGTATGTCCCTATGTCTGTGTGTGTGTGTGTGTATGTCCCTATGTCTGTGTGTGTGTGAGTATGTCCCTATGTCTGTGTGTGTGTGAGTATGTCCCTATGTCTGTGTGTGTGTGTGTATGTCCCTATGTCTGTGTGTGTGTGAGTATGTCCCTATGTCTGTGTGTGTGTGAGTATGTCCCTATGTCTGTGTGTGTGTGAGTATGTCCCTATGTGTGTGTGTGTGTGAGTATGTCCCTATGTCTGTGTGTGTATGTCCCTATGTCTGTGTGTGTGTCTCTATATCTTTCTTTGTGTGTCTCTGTCTATCTGTGTGTGTCTCACGTCTCTATGGCGTCTCTGCCCTGATCTGGGTCCCTATCTCTGTGGATGTGTGGGTATATCCTCGTGTGTACCTCTGTCTCTCTAGATATCTATGTGCGTGTCTCTGTGTTTCCGTATCTGTGTGTCTGTGTGTGTCTGTGTGTGTCTCTGTTTATATATCTGTGTGTCTGTGTGTGTCTGTGTGTGTCTCTGTATATATATCTGTGTGTGTCTCTGTATATATCTATCTGTGTGTGTCTGTGTGTGTCTCTGTATATATATCTGTGTGTGTCTCTGTGTATATATGTGTGTGTATATATGTATATATGTGTATCTGCGTGTGTCTCTGTATATATGTATATGCGTGTGTCTGTGTGTATATATATATCTATCTGTGTGTCTGTGTGTGTGTCTCTGCATGTATATGTGTGTCTGTATATATATATCTGTATATATCTATCTGTGTGTGTCTGTGTGTCTCTGTATATATCTCTATCTGTGTGTGTCTGTGTGTGTCTGTATATATTTATCTGTGTGTGTCTCTGTATATATGTGTATCTGTGTGTGTCTCTGTATATATATGTGTGTGTCTGTGTGTATATATCTATCTGTGTGTCTGTGTGTGTCTCTGTGTAGATATGTATATGTGTATCTGCGTGTGTCTGTGTCTCTGTATATATGTATATGTGTATCTGTGCGTGTCTCTGTATGTATATGTGTGTGTGTGTATATATGTGTATCTGCGTGTGTCTCTGTATATATGTGTGTGTGTCTGTGTCTCTGTATATATGTGTATCTGTGTGTGTCTCTGTATATATGTGTGTCTCTGTATATATGTATCTGTGTGTGTCTCTGTATGTATATGTGTGTGTGTATATATGTATGTATGTGTATCTGTATATGTCTGTCTGCATGTATATGTGTGTGTCTGTATATATGTGTATATGTGTATCTGCGTGTGTCTGTGTGTGTCTCTGTATATATGTGTGTATCTGTGTGTGTCTCTGTATGTATATGTGTGTGTCTCTGTATGTATATGTGTGTGTCTCTGTATGTATATGTGTGTGTCTCTGTATGTATATGTGTCTCTGTATGTATATGTGTGTGTCTCTGTATGTATATGTGTGTGTCTCTGTATATATGTGTGTGTCTCTGTATGTATCTGTGTGTATATATGTGTGTCTCTGTATATATGTGTGTGTCTGTGTGTGTCTCTGTATATATGTGTGTGTATATATGTGTGTGTCTCTGTATATATGTGTGTGTCTGTGTGTGTCTCTGTATGTATATGTGTGTGTCTCTGTATGTATCTGTGTGTATATGTGTGTGTCTCTGTATGTATGTGTGTCTCTGTATATATGTGTGTCTGTGTGTGTCTCTGTATGTATATGTGTGTGTCTCTGTATATATGTGTGTGTCTGTGTGTGTCTCTGTATATATGTGTGTGTCTGTGTGTGTCTCTGTATATATGTGTGTGTCTGTGTGTGTCTCTGTATATATGTGTGTGTGTGTGTATCTGCGTGTGTCTCACGTCTCCTGGGCGTCTCTGCTCTGCTCTGGGTCGACGAGCACCGGCCTCCGTGGAGCCTGGAACCCTCCCGGCCCCGCCGCTGTAGCAGGGCCCCCCCCCACGTCCCCATCCACAGGGGGGCCACCACCCCCCACGTCCCCATCCACAGGGGGGCCCCCCACGGCGGCGGCGGCCGCACGCACGCACCCAGACGCGGTGGTGAAGGCTCGCAGTGAGCCTGAGAGACACAGGGAGGAGACACGGTGAGCCTGAGACACAGGGAGACTGAGACACAGGGAGTCTGAGACACAGGGAGTCTGAGACACAGGGAGTCTGAGACACAGGGAGTCTGAGACACAGGGAGTCTGAGACACAGGGAGGAGACACGGTGAGCCTGAGGAACACAGGCACATGTAGGGAGACACAGGGAGCCTGAGACACAGGGAGTCTGAGACAGGGAGTCTGAGACACAGGGAGTCTGAGACACAGGGAGTCTGAGACAGGGAGAGACCGGGAGACACAGGGAGTCTGAGACACAGGGAGACGTAGGGAGACACAGGGAGTCTGAGACACAGGGAGATGCAGAGAGACACAGGGAGTCTGAGACACAGGGAGGAGACACGGTGAGCCTGAGACACAGGGAGTCTAGACACAGGGAGTCTGAGAGACACAGGGAGACACAGAGAGACACAGGGAGGAGACACGGTGAGCCTCAGGAACACAGGGATATGTAGGGAGACACAGGGAGTCTGAGACACAGAGTCTGAGACACAGGGAGTCTGAGACACAGGGAGTCTGAGACACAGGGAGTCTGAGACAGGGAGAGACCGGGAGACACAGGGAGTCTGAGACACAGGGAGACGTAGGGAGACACAGGGAGACGCAGAGAGACACAGGGAGTCTGAGACACAGTGAGCCTGAGACACAGTGAGACAGTGAGACACAGTGAGACACAGTGAGACACAGAGAGACACAGTGAGACAGTGAGACACAGAGAGACACAGTGAAACACAGAGAGCCTGAGTCACAGTGAGCCTGAGACACAGTGAGTCACACTGAGACACAGTGAGACAGTGAGACACAGTGAGACACAGAGAGACACAGAGAGACACAGTGAGACACAGTGAGACACTGAGACAGTGAGCCTGAGACACAGTGAGCCTGAGACACAGTGAGCCTGAGACACAGTGAGACACTGTGAGGCAGTGAGACACAGAGAGACACAGTGAGACACAGTGAGATACAGTGAGACACAGCGAGGCAGTGAGACACTGAGAGACAGTGAGACACAGTGAGACAAAGAGAGACACTGAGACACAGTGAGACAGTGATACACAGAGAGACAGTGAGACACAGAGAGACACTGAGACACAGTGAGTCACAGTGAGACACAGCGACACAGTGAGACACAGTGAGTCACAGTGAGTCACAGTGAGATACAGAGAGACAAGTGAGACACAGAGAGACACAGTGAGACAACTTCTTTGGTTCTTTCGGTAAAGTCACCACGTAGAATGAGAATAAAATAATAAATTGATTAAATAAAATAACACAATATTCTCACGACGTTTCGGCCACAACACAAGCGGCCTTCATCAGGTGAAGGCACGAGACTGTCTGGAGGACAGCGCTGGAGTGAAAAAGCCACGCTTAGATCACGACCTTTAAGCTGTGTGAGAAGAAACAAAGCGCCTTGACAAAGGAGACACAGAGAGACACACTGAGACACCGTGAGACACTGAGACACAGTGAGACACTGAGACACAGTGAGACACAGAGAGACACAGTGAGACACAGTGAGACACAGAGAGACACAGTGAGACACAGTGAGACACAGTGATACACAGTGAGACAGTGAGACACAGTGAGACACAGTGAGACACAGAGAGACACAGTGAGACACAGTGAGACACAGAGAGACACACTGAGACACAGTGAGACACAGTGAGACAGTGAGATAGTGAGACACAGTGAGACACAGTGAGCCTGAGACAGTGAGCCTGAGACACAGTGAGACACTGTGAGGCAGTGAGACACAGTGAGGCAGTGAGACACAGTGAGACACAGAGAGACACACTGAGACACAGTGAGACAGAGAGACACAGTGAGACAAGTGAGACACTGAGAGACACAGTGAGACACTGAGACACACTGAGACAGAGACACAGTAAGACACAGAGAGACACAGTGAGACACAGAGAGCCTGAGACACAGTGAGACACAGGGAGTCTGAGACACAGTGAGACACTGAGACACAGAGAGACACAGAGACACACTGAGACACAGAGACACAGTGAGTCACACTGAGTCACACTGAGACACAGTGAGACACAGAGACACAGAGAGACACAGAGAGACACAGAGACACACTGAGACACAGTGAGTCACACTGAGACACAGAGAGACACAGTGAGACACAGAGAGACACAGTGAGACACACTGAGACACAGCGACACAGTGAGTCACACTGAGACACAGTGAGACACACTGAGACACAGTGAGTCACACTGAGACACAGTGAGACACAGAGAGACACAGAGAGACACTGAGACACAGAGAGACACAAATACAAAGACCCTCCTCCATCCCCAGTTGCCGCCGTAAACTGTTGGGGCAAGCTCCGTGAGCGAGTGGCAGCGCGAGAAGCGGCGCCGATTGACTTGGCGAAGAGTCCACGGCAATAAATAACAAATAGCGACATTGAGAGGTGGCAGAGGAGGAGTGGGGGCGAGGTGGTGGAGTGGGGGCGAGGTGGTGGTGGAGTGATGGAGTGGAGGAGTGGTGGAGTGGAGTGGTGGTAGAGTGGTGGAGTGGGGGCGAGGTGGTGGAGTGGTGGTGGAGTGGAGTGGTGGTGGAGTGGAGTGGTGGTGGAGTGGAGGAGTGGTGGAGTGGTGGTGGTGGAGTGGAGTGATGGAGTGGTGGTGTTGTGGGCAGTCCCCGCTCCCGGCCGTCTTTGTCTCCCTCCCCGCCGCCACTGACCGCGTCTCGCCGCGTGCAGCACGAGGGCAGCCATCGCTCCGTGACCTTTGTGCGACCCCACGCCTCCACTTCCGGGAGAAGGGAGGAAGAGGCGGGGCTGTACACGAAGGGGGCGGGGCCTAGTCGGTGGGGGCGGGGCTTATATGACGGTGGGCGGGGCCTAGCGGATAACGATGTGCCACGCGGGATGACTGAGTTGATGATATTCTTGGTTCTTTCTGTAAAGTCAGCGCGTGGAAGGGAAACGATAAAATAATAATAAAAATATAAAACAATAAAATTATCACGACGTTTCGACTGAAACACAAGCAATCATCATCAGGTGTGAAAACCACCGCAAGAAATTTTGAAAAAAGTGGCGTTTTTATTTTTAACGTTAGCACCACGGAGAGCGATTTTTTAAAGCATGTTTTATTTGGGGGGGGGGCAGAGCTTTGTGACGTCATATTTGAGGGGGGGGTCTGACTTTTTGTGACGACGGGGAGTGGGTTAAAAAATCGCGTGACATCATTTATGGACGGCCCCTTATAAATCTCAACGTTCATCCTACAAAGTCCCGTGACAACGGGTGAACACAAACAAATAGACAAAACTACTGTTGTAGTTTGTTGTAGTTTTGTCCTCCAGACAGTCTCGTCCCTTCACCTGATGAAGGCCGCTTGTGTTGTGGCCGAAACGTCGTGAGAATATTATTGTGTTATTTTATTTTATTAATTATTATTTTATTGTCATTCTACGTGGTGACTTTACCAAAAGAACCAAAGAAGATGAATCCTTGCAGTCACGAAAGCTTTAAATCGAAATTCAATTTCCCTGCACAAGAATGCGGGGTAAAGCGTTGTGGGTTCACACCTATTCATTAACATGCTTCTGAAGGGCAGGGGGGCGTGACTTAGTTCACTGGGGGGCGTGGTCACCGAGTGTAGGCGTGGTTAGTTTGCGTCCGCCGAAGTCATCACGTCGACCGAGAGCTAGCGAGAGTGACGTCACCCCGTCTAGCGAGTGACGTCATCGCGTCGATCGTGCCTGACCCGGGGAGCGACGTCATCCCACCGTGCGCGCGTTTGCGAGAGTGACGTCATCGCGTATAGCTATGAGCGTCATCACGCCAATCGTGCGCGGGCAGGAGTGACGTCATAACATCGATTGTGCGCGAGCAGAAGTGACGTCATGACGTCGATTGTGCGCGAGCAGGAGTGACGTCACCGCTGTCATTGAGGAGTCTCATTCAAACTTGTGTAAGGTGGTTTTATTTTTGTTTATAAACTTCAACATTCCGTTTTTTTAATCGCGCAGTTCTTCTTGAGTTGTAGTCACCGTGGGCAATGTTACTTTTGCTCGTTTGAGGTAATAAACGGTGGTTATCGCACCGACGTTTTAGCTGTGGTCCGAGATGACGACTCGTCTCGTAGGCCGAGGCTTTTTTCGTTTTTCCTGGCGGCGTCGCGGGACCGAGGGGACGAGGCGCGGCCAGGCGAGCATCGGTAGCGCGGGAGAGGTGAGAGAGCGTGTCTCCCTTCCCTCCTCCCGTGTCTCCCTTCCCTCCTCCCGTGTCTCCCTTCCCTCCTCCCGTGTCTCCCTTCCCTCCTCCCGTGTCTCCTCCTCCCGTGTCTCCCTCCATCTCCCGTGTCTCCCTCCTACCCCCCTCGTGTCTCCTCCTCCTCGTGTCTCCCTTCCTCCTCCCGTGTTTCCCTCCATCTCCCGTGTCTCCATCTCCCGTGTCTCCCTCCATCTCCCGTGTCTCCATCTCTCGTGTCTCCATCTCTCGTGTCTCCCTTCCCCCCTCTCGTGTCTCCCTCCATCTCTCGTGTCTCCCTTCCCCCCTCTCGTGTCTCCCTCCATCTCTCGTGTCTCCCTTCCCTCCTCCCGTGTCTCCATCTCCCGTGTCTCCCTCCTCCCGTGTCTCCATCTCCCGTGTCTCCCTCCTCCCGTGTCTCCCCCTCTCTCGTCCCCCCCCCTCTCGGGAATTTGCCTGTGCCGACGGATCTCCAAGGGGTGGCTGAGACCCGCCAAGTTTTGCTGTCATTGTGTCCCAGGTCGTTTTATGACGAGTAGCTCCACAACTCAGCGGGCCATGTCTGATCAATAAGATACATAACTAATGTTTAAAACAACTTCTTGTTTATATATAAACAACACGCTTTAATGAAATGTACCCTCCTAGTGATGGCAGAACTCCAGGAAGTTGCCCTGAAACATAACATATACAAAATAATGTGTAAAAATATGTTTTTTATTTGTAATGATATAATATAGTATTGTCATCAGTGTGACATTAGTATGCCAAGTTTGCGGTCGATACCACATTGGCAAGTGGGTTAACATTGAGTTACAAGATTTGAGGATACATCAACAACAACAGATAGTGAGTTAATAACAGAAAGCGTGTTAAATAGTTTTAGTTGTGATGAAGGAGATAAGGTCTCCCCACTGCCCTGTCTCCGTGTCTCGCCACTGCCCTGTCTCCGTGTCTCCCCACTGCCCTGTCTCCGTGTCTCCCCACTGCCCTGTCTCCGTGTCTCGCCACTGCCCTGTCTCCATGTCTCCCCACTGCCCTGTCTCCGTGTCTCCCCGCTGCCCTGTCTCCGTGTCTCGTCACTGCCCTGTCTCCGTGTCTCCCCACTGCCCTGTCTCCGTGTCTCGCCCTGTGTAGACGTCTCCCCACTGCCCTGTCTCCGTGTCTCGCCACTGCCCTGTCTCCGTGTCTCGCCACTGCCCTGTCTCCGTGTCTCCCCACTGCCCTGTCTCCGTGTCTCCCCACTGCCCTGTCTCCGTGTCTCGTCACCGCCCTGTCTCCGTGTCTCCCCACTGCCCTGTCTCCGTGTCTCCCCACTGCCCTGTCTCCGTGTCTCGTCACTGCCCTGTCTCCGTGTCTCCCCACTGCCCTGTCTCCGTGTCTCCCCACTGGGCTGTCTCCGTGTCTCCCCACCGCCCTGTCTCCGTGTCTCCCCACTGCCCTGTCTCCGTGTCTCCCCACTGCCCTGTCTCCGTGTCTCCCCACTGCGCTGTCTCCGTGTCTCGTCACTGCCCTGTCTCCGTGTCTCCCCACTGCCCTGTCTCCGTGTCTCCCCATTGCCCTGTCTCCGTGTCTCCCCACCGCCCTGTCTCCGTGTCTCCCCACTGCCCTGTCTCCGTGTCTCCCCACCGCCCTGTCTCCGTGTCTCCCCACTGCCCTGTCTCCGTGTCTCCCCATTGCCCTGTCTCCGTGTCTCCCCACTGCCCTGTCTCCGTGTCTCCCCACTGCCCTGTCTCCGTGTCTCCCCACTGCCCTGTCTCCGTGTCTCCCCACCGCCCTCTCTCCGTGTCTCCCCACCGCCCTCTCTCCGTGTCTCCCCACTGCCCTGTCTCCGTGTCTCCCCACTGCCCTGTCTCCGTGTCTCCCCACTGCCCTGTCTCCGTGTCTCGCCACTGTTCTGTCTCCGTGTCTCGTCACTGGGCTGTCTCCGTGTCTCCCCACCGCCCTGTCTCCGTGTCTCCCCACTGGGCTGTCTCCGTGTCTCCCCACCGCCCTGTCTCCGTGTCTCCCCACTGCCCTGTCTCCGTGTCTCCCCACTGGGCTGTCTCCGTGTCTCCCCACTGCCCTGTCTCCGTGTCTCCCCACTGCCCTGTCTCCGTGTCTCCCCACTGCGCTGTCTCCGTGTCTCGTCACTGCCCTGTCTCCGTGTCTCCCCACTGCCCTCTCTTCGTGTCTCCCCACTACCCTGTCTCCGTGTCTCCCCACCGCCCTGTCTCCGTGTCTCCCCACTGCCCTGTCTCCGTGTCTCCCCACCGCCCTGTCTCCGTGTCTCCCCACTGCCCTGTCTCCGTGTCTCCCCACCGCCCTGTCTCCGTGTCTCCCCATTGCCCTGTCTCCGTGTCTCCCCACTGCCCTGTCTCCGTGTCTCCCCACTGCCCTGTCTCCGTGTCTCCCCACTGCCCTGTCTCCGTGTCTCCCCACCGCCCTCTCTCCGTGTCTCTCCACCGCCCTCTCTCCGTGTCTCCCCACTGCCCTGTCTCCGTGTCTCCCCACCGCCCTCTCTCCGTGTCTCCCCACTGCCCTGTCTCCGTGTCTCCCCACTGCCCTGTCTCCGTGTCTCCCCACTGCCCTGTCTCCGTGTCTCCCCACCGCCCTGTCTCCGTGTCTCCCCACCGCCCTGTCTCCGTGTCTCCCCACCGCCCTGTCTCCGTGTCTCCCCACCGCCCTGTCTCCGTGTCTCCCCACTGCCCTGTCTCCGTGTCTCCCCACTGCCCTGTCTCCGTGTCTCCCCACCGCCCTGTCTCCGTGTCTCCCCACCGCCCTGTCTCCGTGTCTCGCCCCGCGTAGCGCCGGGTGATCCTCTCGGGCGTGCAGCCCAGCGGAGTGCCTCACCTGGGGAATGTCTTTGGAGCCATGGGGACATGGAGACAGCTGCTGAGACACGGGGACACACAGGGTGAGACACAGGGTGAGACACAGGGTGAGACACGGGGTGAGGCACGGGGTGAGACACAGTGAGACACGGGGTGAGACACGGGGTGAGACAAAGGGTGAGACACGGGGTGAGACACGGGGTGAGCCAAAGGGTGAGACACGGGGTGAGACACGGGGACACACGGGGTGAGACACACAGGGTGATTCACGAGGTGAGACACGGGGACACACGGGGTGAGACACACAGGGTGAGACACAGGCTGAGACACAGGGTGAGACACGGGGACACACGGGGTGAGACACACAGGGTGAGACACAGGCTGAGACACAGGGTGAGACACGGGGACACACTGGGTGAGACACACGGGGTGAGACACGTGGACACACATGGTGAGACACGGGGTGAGACACGGGGTGAGACACGGGGACACACAGGGTGAGACACGGGGACACACAGAGTGAGACACGGGGTGAGACACTGGGTGAGACACGGTGAGACACGGGGTGAGACACGGGGTGAGACACGGGGACACACAGGGTGAGACACGGGGACACACAGAGTGAGACACGGGGTGAGACACTGGGTGAGACACGGGGTGAGACACGGGGACACACGGGGTGAGACACACGGGGTGAGACACAGGGTGAGACACGGGGACACATGGGGTGAGACACAGGGTGAGACACGGACACATGGAGTGAGACACAGGGTGAGACACGGGGACACATGGGGTGAGACACGGGGTGAGACACGGAGACACACAGGGTGAGACACAGGGTGAGACATGGGGACATGTGGGGTGGGACACACGGGGTGAGACACAGGGAGACCACGTGGTGGGACACGGGGTGAGACGCAGGGACACACGGGGACATACAGGGTGGGACAGGGGGATACACAGCATCTCTGTGTGAGTCTGTGGGTCTCTGTGTGAGTCCGTGGGTCTCTGTGTGAGTCTGTGGGTCTCTGTGTGATGAGTCTGTGGGTCTCTGTGTGAGTCTGTGGGTCTCTGTGTGAGTCTGTGGGTCTCTGTGTGATGAGTCTGTGGGTCTTTGTGTGAGTCTGTGGGTCTCTGTGTGAGTCTGTGGGCCTCTGTGTGAGTCTGTGGGTCTCTGTGAGTCTGTGGGTCTCTGTGTGAGTCTATGGGTCTCTGTGTGAGTCTGTGGGTCTCTGTGTGAGTCTGTGGGACTCTGTGTGAGTCCGTGGGTCTCTGTGTGAGTCTGTGGGTCTCTGTGTGAGTCTGGGTTTTTTTGTGATGAGTCTGTGGGTTTCTGTGTGAGTCTGTGGGTTTCTGCGTGAATGTGTGGGTCTCTGTGTGAGTCTGTGGGTCTCTATGTGAGTCTGTGGGTCTCTGTGTGAGTATGTGGGTCTCTGTGTGAGTCTGTGGGTCTCTGTGTGAGTCTGTGGGTCTCTGTGTGAGTCTGTGGGTCTCTGTGTGAGTCTGTGGGTCTCTGTGTGAGTCTGTGGGTCTCTGTGTGAGTCTGTGGGTCTCTGTGTGAGTCTGTGGGTCTCTGTGTGATGAGTCTGTGGGTCTCTGTGTGAGTCTGTGGGTCTCTGCGTGCGTCTGTGGGTCTCACTGAGGCAATGCCTATCACTGTCTCCCCGTGTCTCCCCGTGTCTATCTCTGTGTCTTTCTCTCCGTGTCCCTTCATGTGTCTCCGTGTCCCCCTGTGTGTCTCTGTGTCTTTCTCTCCCCATGTCTCCGTGTCCCCATGTGTCCCCGTGTGTCCCCGTGTGTCTCCGTGTTCCCGTGTGTCCCCATGTGTCCCCGTGTGTCTCCGTGTGTCTCCGTGTGTCCCCACGTGTGTCCCCGTGTGTCTCTGTGTCCCCGTGCGTCTCCGTGTCCCCGTGTGTCCCCGTGTGTCTCCGTGTGTCTCTGTGTGTCCCCACGTGTGTCTCTGTGTGTCTCTGTGTGTCCCCGTGTGTCCCCGTGTCTCCGTGTGTCCCCGTGTGTCCCCGTGTGTCTCTGTGTGTCTCTGTGTCGCCACGTGTGTCTCTGTGTGTCTCTGTGTCTCTGTGTCTCTGTGTCTCCGTGTGTCTCTGTGTGTCTCTGTGTCCCCACGTGTGTCTCCGTGTGTCTCTGTGTCCCAGGCTCACTGTCGATGTTCTGTGTGGCTGACCTGCACGCGCTCACCGTGACCCCTGACCCCGGCTTGCTGCGGCGTCGCTGCCGCATCACGGCGGCCGCCCTCGTGGCCTGTGGGGTGGACCCAGCCCGGAGCGCCCTCTTCCTGCAGTCTCAGGTTAACACCTGGTTAACACCTGGTTAACACGTTAACACCTGGTTAACACGTTAACACGTTACCTAGACAGTCACCCAGCCCGGAGTGCCCTCTTCCTGCAGTCTCAGGTTAACACCTTAACACATTAACACCTAGTTAGCACCTGGTTAACACCTGGTTAACACGTTAACATGTTAACACGTTAACACCTGGTTACCACGTTAACACCTGGTTAACACCTGGTGACCTGTGGGGTGGACCCAGCCCGGAGCGCCCTCTTCCTGCAGTCTCAGGTTAACACCTGGTTAACACCTGGTTAACACATTAACACCTGGTTAACACCTAGTTACCACGTTAACACCTGGTTAACATGTTAACACGTTAACACGTTAACACCTGTTTAACACCTGTTTAACACCTGGTTAACACGTTAACACGTTACCACCTGGTTAACACGTTAACACCTGGTTAACACGTTAACACGTTACCACGTTAACACATTAACACCTGGTTAACACGTTAACACCTGGTTAACACGTTAACACGTTACCTAGACAGTCACCCCGCCCGGAGCGCCCTCTTCCTGCAGTCTCAGGTTAACACCTGGTTAACACCTGGTTAACACCTGGTTAACACATTAACACCTGGTTAACACCTAGTTACCACGTTAACACCTGGTTAACATGTTAACACGTTAACACCTGTTTAACACCTGGTTAACACGTTAACACGTTACCACCTGGTTAACACGTTAACACCTGGTTAACACGTTAACACGTTACCACGTTAACACGTTAACACATTAACACCTGGTTAACACGTTAACACCTGGTTAACACGTTAACACGTTACCTAGACAGTCACCCCGCCCGGAGCGCCCTCTTCCTGCAGTCTCAGGTTAACACCTGGTTAACACATTAACACCTGGTTAACACCTAGTTACCACGTTAACACCTGGTTAACATGTTAACACGTTAACACGTTAACACCTGTTTAACACCTGGTTAACACGTTAACACGTTACCACCTGGTTAACACGTTAACACCTGGTTAACACCTGGTTAACACGTTACCACGTTAACACGTTAACACCTGGTTAACACCTGGTTAACACGTTAACACCTGGTTATCACCTTACCTGTGGGGTGGACCCAGCCTGGAGCGCCCTCTTCCTGCAGTCTCAGGTTAACACCTGGTTAACACGTTAACACATGGTTAACACCTGGTTACTACGTTAACACGTTACCACGTTAACACCTGGTTATCACCTTACCACCTGGTTACCACCTGGTTACCAGTTACCAGGTTAACACCTTACCACCTGGTTACCAGTTACCAGGTTACCACCTGGTTACCACGTTACCTGGTTACCACGTTACCACGTTACCTGGTAACCAGGTAACCAGGTAACGTGATAACCTTGTTACCCGGTTACCAGGTTACCAGGTAACGTGATAACCTTGTTACCCGGTTACCAGGTTACCACGTTACCTGGTTACCTAGACAGTCACCCAGTTACCAAGTTACCTGGTTACCCAGTTACCTGGCTACCTGGTTACCACGTTACCACGTTACCACGTTACCTGGTTACCATGTTACCACGTTACCTGGTTACCACGTTACCACGTTACCTGGTTACCAGGTTACCACGTTACCTGGTTACCAGGTTACCTGGTTACCACGTTACCAGGTTACCCAGTTACCTGGTTACCAGGTTACCCAGTTACAAGGTTACCACGTTACCTGGCTACCACGTTACCTAGACAGTCACCCAGTTACCCAGTTACCCGGTTACCACGTTACCACGTTACCACGTTACCCAGTTACCTGGTTACCACGTTACCTAGACAGCCACCCAGTTACCACGTTACCACGTTACCACGTTACCAGGTTACCCGGTTACCCAGTTACCTGGTTACCAGGTTACCACGTTACCAGGTTACCTAGACAGTCACCCAGTTACCTGGTTACCCAGTTACCTGGTTACCACGTTCCCAGGTTACCACGTTACCTGGTTACCAGGTTACCCAGTTACTCAGCCAGTCACCCAGTGACCCAGGTTACCACGTTACCTGGTTACCCAGTTACCTAGACAGTCACCCAGTTACCTGGTTACCACGTTACCTGGTTACCCAGTTACTCAGCCAGTCACCCAGTGACCCAGTTACCTGGTTACCAGGTTACCTGGTTACCCAGTTACCAGGTTACCCGGTTACCTGGTTACCCAGTTACCAGGTTACCTGGTTACCATGTTACCTGGTTACCAGGTTACCCGGTTACCATGTTACCAGGTTACCTAGTTACTAGGTTACCCAGTTACCACGTTACCAGGTTACCCAGTCACCTGGTTACCAGGTTACACCTGGTTACCAGGTTACCAGGTTACCCAGTCACCTGGTTACCAGGTTGCCCAGTTACCAGGTTACCAGGTTACCCAGTCACCTGGTTACCAGGTTACCCAGTTACCAGGTTACCCAGTTACCTGGTTACCAGGTTACTCAGCCATTCAGCCAGTCACCCAGTGACCCAGTTACCACGTTACCAGGTTACCACGTTACCAGGTTACCACGTTACCAGGTTACCACGTTACCCGGTTACCTGGTTACCAGGTTACCCAGTTACCTGGTTACCTGGTTATCCAGTTACCTGGTTACCTAGACAGTCACCCAGTTACCCAGTTACTCCGCCACTCAGCCAGTTACCCAGTGACCCAGTTACCTGGTGACCAGGTTACCTGGTTACCAGGTTACCAGGTTGCCTGGTTACCAGGTTACCCAGTTACCCGGTTACCCAGACAGTCACCCAGTGACCCAGTTACTCAGCCAGTCACCCAGTGACCCAGCCAGTCACCCAGTGACCCAGTTACTCAGCCAGTCACCCAGTGACCCAGCCAGTCACCCAGTGACCCAGTTACTCAGACAGTGACCCAGTCACCCAGTGACCCAGTCACCCAGTTACCCAGTGACCCAGTTACCCAGTGACCCAGTCACCCAGTGACCCAATCACCCAGTTACCCAGTGACCCAGTTACCCAGTGACCCAGTTACTCAGCCAGATAACGCAACCAGGATCTGTAGTTAAACTGCAGGAGGAGGAATCTGATGGGCTGTAAAGCTCTTTGTCACAATGGAAGAAGGCTCTTCACAAATAGAACAACAACAATAATTATTATTATTCAGCTCGTTAGTGACCAATCGTGCCCAGAGAGGGAGTTTTGGATTGAACCCCTCCCTCCCCCTTTCTCTCCCCGTCTCCCTCACTCCCCGTGTCTCCCTGTCTCCGTGTCCCCCTCCCCGTGTCTCCCTCCCCCTTTCTCTCCCCATCTCCCTCACTCTCCGTGTCTCCCTGTCCCCGTGTCCCCGTGTCTCCGTGTCTCCGTGTCCCCGTGTCTACCTCCCCGTGTCTCCCTCCCCCTTTCTCTCCCCATCTCCCTCACTCCTCGTGTCTCCCTGTCCCCGTGTCCCCGTGTCTCCGTGTCTCCGTGTCTCCGTGTCTCCGTGTCCCCGTGTCTCTGTCTCCGTGTCTCCGTGTCTCTAGGTCCCAGAGCACACCGAGTTGTCTTGGATCCTCGGCTGCCTCACAACCACAGCCAGACTCAGCCACCTGCACCAATGGAAGGTGACTCATCATCAGGGTGACTCATCCTCAGGGTGACTCATCCTCAGGGTGACTCATCAGGGTGACTCTTCAGGGTGACTCATCCTCAGGGTGACTCATCCTCAGGGTGGCTCTTCAGGGTGACTCCTCAGGGTGACTCATCCTCAGGGTGACTCATCCTCAGGGTGACTCATCCTCAGGGTGACTCATCCTCAGGGTGACTCTTCAGGGTGACTCATCAGGATGACTCATCAGGGTGACTCCTCAGGGTGACTCCTCAGGGTGACTCATCAGGGTGACTCATCAGGGTGACTCATCCTCGGGGTGACTCCTCGGGGTGACTCCTCGGGGTGACTCCTCGGGGTGACTCCTCGGGGTGACTCGTCAGGGTGACTCATCAGGGTGACTCACCAGGGTGACTCCTCGGGGTGACTCGTCAGGGTGACTCCTCCTCAGGGTGACTCCTCATCAGGGTGACTCATCAGGGTGACTCATCAGGGTGACTCGGGGTGACGAGATGTTAACTACCTCTCACGGTGTACAGGAGGTCGTGGGTTGAATCCCGACCCCAACGCTTGCTGCTGTTTATTTAGAATGTCTGTCAGTTCGATCTCACCACCGTGAGATGTTAACTACCTCGCCTGTACACCAGGCGAGGTAGTTAACATCTCACCACCGTGTTGTTAACTACCTTGCCTGTACACCAGGCGAGGTAGTTAACATCTACCACCGTGAGATGTTAACTACCACACCTGTACACCAGGCGAGGTAGTTAACATCTCACCACCATGAGATGTTAACTACCTCGCCTGTACACCAGGCGAGGTAGTTAACATCTCACCACCGTGTGATGTTAACTACCTCGCCTGTACACCAGGCGAGGTAGTTAACATCTCACCAACGTGATGTTAACTACCTCGCCTGTACACCAGGTGAGGTAGTTAACATCTACCACCGTGAGATGTTAACTACCACACCTGTACACCAGGCGAGGTAGTTAACATCTCACCACCGTGTGATGTTAACTACCTCGCCTGTACACCAGGCGAGGTAGTTAACATCTCACCACCGTGAGATGTTAACTACCACACCTGTACACCAGGCGAGGTAGTTAACATCTCACCACGGTGTGATGTTAACTAGCTCGCCTGTACACCAAGGCGAGGTAGTTAACATCTCACCACCGTGTGATGTTAACTACCTCGCCTGTACACCAGGCGAGGTAGTTAACATCTCACCACCGTGTGATGTTAACTACCTCGCCTGTACACCAGGCGAGGTAGTTAACATCTCACCACCGTGAGATGTTAACTAGCTCGCCTGTACACCAGGCGAGGTAGTTAACATCTCACCACCGTGTGATGTTAACTACCTCGCCTGTACACCAGGCGAGGTAGTTAACATCTCACCACCGTGTGATGTTAACTACCTCGCCTGTACACCAGGCGAGGTAGTTAACATCTCACCACCGTGTGATGTTAACTACCTCGCCTGTACACCAGGCGAGGTAGTTAACATCTCACCACGGTGTTGTTAACTACCACACCTGTACACCAGGCGAGGTAGTTAACATCTCACCACGGTGTGATGTTAACTAGCTCGCCTGTACACCAGGCGAGGTAGTTAACATCTCACCACGGTGTGATGTTAACTACCTCGCCTGTACACCAGGCGAGGTAGTTAACATCTCACCACCGTGTGATGTTAACTACCTCGCCTGTACACCAGGCGAGGTAGTTAACATCTCACCACGGTGTGATGTTAACTACCTCGCCTGTACACCAGGCGTGTGTTGTAGTGGAAAGGTCGTGAGAATTGTATTGTTTTATATTTTTATTATTTTATTGTTTCCCTTCTACGTGATTTTACCGAAAGATCTCAAGAATATGAATCCCTGCAGTCACGAAAGCTTGAAATCGAAATTTGAGATAAGACGGTTAGACACCTCCCATGGTAAGAATGCTTGCGGAGGCATTGACAAAATAGTTTAGTTTTATATTCTTGGTTCTTTCGGTAAAGTCACCACGTAGAAGGGAAACAATCAAATAATAAAAATATAAAACTATTTTAGTGTTAATAAAAATATAAAACAATAATTTTTTAAATATTATTTTATTGTTTCCCTTCTACGTGGTAACTTTACCGAAAGAGCAATTTTATTGTTTCATATTTTTATTATTTTATTGTTTCCCTTCTACGTGGTGGTGACTTTACCGAAAGAACCAAGAATATGAATCCCTGCAGTCACGAAAGCTTTAAATCTTAGTTTAGTTTTGGTTCCACGTTGGTTTTGCCCCTCCTGGTGCCGCTGTGTGACCCGGTTGTTGTTGTTGTTGTTGCCGTTGCCGTTGCCGGGACTACTTTCAGGAGAAGAGTCGGGGCCTGGCGGACCTTGGGAGCCTGGGCCTCCTCACCTACCCGGTGCTGCAGGCGGCCGACATTCTACTATACAGGCAAGGAGACCCAGGAGGAGGAGGAGGAGGAGAAATCCGATTAGCTATGAAGCTCTTTGCTGCAGATGTCCATTTAAGGGGCACGGAGTCAGCACGTAACAACGCCAAAACAAACAATTTCGATTTAAAGCTTTCGTGACTGCAGTGATTCATCTTCTTGGTTCTTTAGGTTAAAGTCACACTAACATCGCGCTAATCTCCCAGTTACACGCTAATGTCTGACTTTAACTCCCTGCTAATCTATCACATTAACACGGCTACTTCAATGGTAAATTCTTCTGTCGATATGTAAACTCTTGACTTTAACGTAGCTACTTCCGTGACCAGTTACATGCTAAATCCTCACACTAACATCGCTCTAATCTCCCAGTTACACGCTAATTTCTGACTTTAACTCCCTGCTAATCTATCACATTAACACGGCTACTTCAATGGTAAATTCTTCTATCGATATGTAAACTCTGACTTTAACGTAGCTACTTCCGTGACCAGTTACATGCTAATCCCTCACACTAACATCGCGCTAATCTCCCAGTTACACGCTAATTTCTGACTTTAACACCCTGCTAATCTATCACATTAACACGGCTACTTCAATGGTAAATTCTTCTGTCGATATGTAAACTCTTGACTTTAACGTAGCTACTTCCGTGACCAGTTACATGCCAATCCCTCACACTAACATCGCGCTAATCTCCCAGTTACACGCTAATGTCTGACTTTAACACCCTGCTAATCTATCACATTAACACGGCTACTTCAATGGTAAATTCTTCTGTTGATATGTAAACTCTGACTTTAATGTAGCTACTTCCGTGACCAGTTACATGCTAAATCCTCACACTAACATCATGCTAATCTCCCAGTTACATGCTAATGTCTGACTTTAACACCCTGCTAATCTATCACATTAACACGGCTACTTCAATGGTAAATTCTTCTGTCGATATGTAAACTCTGACTTTAACGTGGCTACTTCCGTGACCAGTTACATGCTAAATCCTCACACTAACATCGTGCTAATCTCCCAGTTATACGCTAATTTCTGACTTTAACACCCTGCTAATCTATCACATTAACACAGCTACTTCAATGCTAAATTCTCCTGTTGATATGTAAACTCTGACTTTAACATAGCTACTTCTGTGACCAGTTACATGCTAATCCCTCACACTAACATCGTGCTAATCTCCCAGTTACATGCCAATGTCTGACTTTAACACCCTGCTAATCTAACACATTAACACGGCTACTTCAATGCTAAATTACTCTGCTGATATGTAAACTCCTTGGTCAAGGCGCTCTGCTCCTCCCACCCAGCTTAAGAGACGCTGCCAAGCTTAGCAGTGTTCATTGAAGCGCTGTCGTCCCGACAGTTCTGTTCCTTCACCTGAAGAAGGCTGCTTGAGTTGTGGCCGAAACGTCGTGATGATTTTATTATGTTTTAGTTGTATTATTTTATTATTTCGCTTCCACTTGACTTTACCGAAAGAACTAAGAACATCACACAGAGACCCACAGACTCACCACACAGAGACCCACAGACTCATCACACAGAGACCCACAGACTCACCACACAGAGACCCACAGACTCACCACACAGAGACCCACAGACTCATCACACAGCGACCCACAGACTCATCACACAGAGACCCACAGACTCATCACACAGAGACCCACAGACTCATCACACAGAGACCCACAGACTCATCACACAGAGACCCATAGACTCATCACACAGAGACCCACAGACTCACCACACAGAGACCCACAGACTCACGACAGAGACCCACAGACTCACCACACAGAGACCCACAGACTCACCACACAGAGACCCATAGACTCACCACACAGAGACCCATAGACTCACCACACAGAGACCCATAGACTCACCACACAGAGACCCATAGACTCATCACACAGAGACTCACGACACAGAGACCCATAGACTCACGACACAAAGACCCATAGACTCACGACACAGAGACCCATAGACTCACCACACAGAGACCCATAGACTCATCACACAGAGACCCACAGACTCACCACACAGAGACCCACAGACTCACCACACAGAGACCCACAGACTCACGACAGAGAGCCACAGACTCACCACACAGAGACCCACAGACTCACCACACAGAGACCCATAGACTCACCACACAGAGACCCATAGACTCACCACACAGAGACCCACAGACTCATCACATAGAGACCCACAGACTCATCACACAGAGACCCACAGACTCACCACAGAGAGCCACAGACTCACCACACAGAGACCCACAGACTCACCACACAGAGACCCATAGACTCACCACACAGAGACCCATAGACTCACCACACAGAGACCCACAGACTCATCACATAGAGACCCACAGACTCATCACACAGAGACCCACAGACTCACCACAGAGACCCACAGACTCACCACACAGAGACCCACAGACTCACGACAGAGAGCCCCGTAGAGACTGTGTGTCACCGCTGTTCTCCCCGCCTCTCCCCCACAGGGCCACGCACGTCCCTGTGGGTGAGGACCAAGCCCAGCACCTTGAGTTGACGCTCGACCTGGCCCGGGCGTTCAACCACCGCTACGGAAACTACTTCCCTCTCCCCCAAGCAGTGCTCAGTGAGACATGCTGGGACACGGGAACACGGAGACAAGGGGGACACGGGACACGGGATCACGGAGACAAGGGGACACGGGACACGGGAACACGGAGACAAGGGGATATGGAGAAACAGGGACACAGACACACGGGAAACACGGAGACATGAGGACACAGGCACATGGGGGGGCACGTGAAGATATTGGTACACCGGGATGCGGGGACATGGACAAACGGGAGACACGGATAAACGGGAGACATGCAGATACAGGGATAGAGATATGGGTACACGGAGATACGGAGATACAGGGAAACGGAGATATGGGGACTTGGAGACACGAGAGAGACATGGGGATACAGGGACAGAGGGACATCAGTTAGCCGCCCATTGTATCTGTACCAGATGGATATGCCTCTGGTGGAGCCATGGATAGTTTCTTTAACTAAGGGGTAAAAATGTCTGTTTAATGGTACAGCGGTCAGAGGACATCCCTGGCTACGCAGCTTCACCTGACCCTGCACACCATCATGAAGGTTCTCAGTATTGTGAGCAGAGGGTCAGGGACCCTGAAAGCACGAAGAATGACCCAGAGCCCAGGCCTACTGATGATATCATAGGCCTTGACCAGGTCAATAAAGCAGAGATGTAGGTCCCGTTGGAATTCCCTACACCTCTGCTGTAGCAGACGGACGGAGGATATGGCATCTGTGCAGGACCGCCCCGGTCTAAAACAACATTGGGGCGATGCAAGTTTCTCCTGAGCGAGTTGCTTGTTGAATAACCCTTGCCAGGACCTTGCCAAGCCTCACACTGAGGAGGGAGATGCCCCGGTAGTTGTGACAATCGGTCACAACCAGCGAAGCTTATTTTCGATCACCAGCCCAGTTAGCTCTCGCACAGCCTTACACCGCTGGCGAAAATATGCCGTTCAGCTGATTTGGAGCGAGATCTCCCCTGCCAAACCGGAGCTGGTCATAAGCACACTGCCCAGATATGTGACACCACTTCAGGGCTCCGCAAGTTATTCATCAGCATCCCTGGCAAGGTGACGTTGAATCATTTGTGCCAGAACCTTTCCTGGCACACTTGAGCAGGGAAATGATGCCCCTGTAGTTGTTACAATCAGTAGTGGGGGGGGGGGGTGGTCCCCCTTAAAGAGTGGGACCACGCGGGCATCCTTACAATCCTGCGGAACCTGTCCTGTGGTCCAGACAGTTGTGTTGTTGATGTCATGTAGGGCGGTATGCACACAGACGCCACCCTCCGTTAGCAGTTCGCTTGTGAGATCGTCTCTACCTGGCGCTGTTCCTGTTCCTTCGACTCAACGGATGGCACCATCAGCCAGCCATTCACGCAGGAGGTGACTTCCTCTTCCAATATTTGAGGCACCGCGGCTCCAGCAGGGTCATCCCCACCTTGCCTCACGATCTTATCTGGGCTGAGGGATCTCTTCCCTCCCCCAAGAGCACACACAAATGGTCAGCAAACCCGCAGACATCAAATTTTTTTGCCCAGCCATGGAACACAGACGGGGTGACCGCATCGCGCGCTAGAACGCCCTCCCTTCACATGTCCGGAAGCCACTGGAGCGAAGCACTTTGAAATCTAAGTAGATGTTTTACTACAGCCACTCTTAGCGTCTTCCTGGTTCTTTCGGTAAAGTCACGTAGGAGGGAAGTAATAATAAAATGATAAAATAATAAAACATGATCAAATAAACTTCTCACGGAGTCTCGGCCACAACACAAGCGGCGTCTGTTAAGCTGGGTGTCTGGTTCGCTTGTCCGTCCCTCGCACCTGCGATTAGAACAGTTGGCTACGTACGGTGAGGAAGAAGTTCAGCAACAGCATGAACGTATTCTTGGTCAATGAAGACTCAAAGCTTTCGTGACTGCGCGAATTACTCAGTGTTTTTTTTTTATTTTTCCCGGTAAACTCACGTGTGTAAGGAATACCACGAAGTTATATTAAAACAGATCAATCAACGACGTTGTCTAACTTTCGATTTGAAGCTTTCGTGACTGCAAGGATTCACCTTCTTTGGTTCTTTCGGTAAAGTCACCACCACGTAGAATGAGAATAAAATAATAAATTGATAAAGTAAAATAACACAATAAAATTCTCACTCCAGCGCTGTCCTACCAGACAGTCTCGTCCCCTTCACCTGATGAAGGCCGCTTGTGTTGTGGCCGAAACGTCGTGGGAATATTATTGCGTTATTTTATTTTAATCGATTTATTATTTTATTCTCATTCCGCGTGGTGGTGACTTTACCGAAAGAACCAAAGAACACGTCGTCTAACTGTGTGCCGTTGGCCCCACTGGTTTGTGCATCACGTAAATTTATTTCCTTAGGCTTGTTGAATTCCCGTCCCTCATCTTCTCGTTGTATTCACCCCCGTGCAAGTCTCCACGCTCTCTGCGTGTTGCGTTGATGTCGCCCCGTGTGGCCCCCTCGCTGTTCGTTTTTTTTTTACGCCTGGTGAAGATCGCTTGCGTTGCGGTCGAAACGCCGTTAGTTGATTTGTTTTAACGTTAACTTCGTGCTATTCCTTCATACGTGACTTTACCGGGAAAAAAAACAAAACATTGAGTAATTTTATGCAGTCACGAATGCTTTAATTCTTTATTTACACACTTCCTCGGGGAAGTTACCTTTACAATCCTGTCCTAGACGTATTGAGCCCCTTGATTTCTCCTACCCCCTCTCTCTGCTGCCGTGCCCCCTTGCTCTCTTCGGCCCCTCTCCCCACCTCTGCTGATTATTTTAAGCCTCTGTCTGTTCATCCCTCCGGCCCTTTTTCTTACTCCTCTGTCCCTCTCCTTGCCTCTTGGTGTTCCCTGTCTATGTATTTCTGCTGCCCTGTACCTCGTATTTGTTCGCTCTGTCTATGCCGGTGTGTTCAACCCAGAGGATGAACACGGCATTAAGCACTCTTCTGAAATTCGTGGTCCTCCAGGCAAGTGTCTAACTGTGTGTCGTTGGCCCCACTGGTTTGTGCATCACGTACATTTTTTTCCTTAGGCTTGTTGAATTCCCGTCTCTCATCTTCTCGCTGTATTCACCACCGTGCAAGTCTCCACGCTCTCTGCGTGATGCGTTGATGTCGCCCCGTGTGGTCCCCTCGCTGTTGTTTTTTTTTACGCCTGGTGAAGATCGCTTGCGTTGCGGTTGAAACGCCGTTAGTTGATTTGTTTTAATGTTAACTTCGTGCCATTCCTTCATACGTGACTTTACCGGGGAAAAAAAACCAAAACATTGGACATATTCTTGGTTCTCTCGCCTCTACGGTGAGGGCTTCACCTGAGGACGGCCGCTTGCGTTGTGGCCGAAACGTCGTCCCTTCTACGCGGTGGTGACTTTACCGAAAGAACCAAGAATATGAATCCCTGCAGTCGTGAAAGCTCTAGATTGAAACCTCGAACATACGGAGCTGTTACTGGGAATCATAGATCGGATCACCGTCCCTTCCCCTGAGGATGGCGACCGGCGAGGCGCTGTAAGTTAAAATTTATTTTCCATGGCATTAGAGAGTGATTTGTGATGACGGGCAACTGAGGCAGATTCCATCTCCTCGGCCACCACTCAAACCTCCGAGCGAAGGCTGCGGCAAGCCGCCTCATTCTCTCGTGTGGGAAGCTGTAGACGTCAGGAGTTGGCCTGTCGCTTTCTGTCAGCCAGCTGTGGAACAATCTCTTGTCAGCCAGGGGTCTCTGGAGAGATGTGTACTGTGCACCCACAGCTGCATGAGCCACAGTCCTGAACCTCACCCATTTCCCCTCTGCATGAGGAGGGGGCGATGCCAACCATATTGTCAAGTAATGATGAATTGAATCTCGATTTGAAGTTTTCGTGACTGCAGGGATCCATTCTCTTTGGTTGTCAACCACCACCACCACCACCACCATCACCACCACAGTCACCACCACCACCACAGTCACCACCACCACCATCACCACCACCATCACCACCACCACAGTCACCACCGCCACCACCATCACCACCACAGTCACCACCACCACCATCACCATCACAGTCACCACAGCGTTACCAACAGGCAACCACCATCACCACCACCACAGTCACCACAGCGTTACTGACAGGCACCATTGAGGTGGGGGTTGATTTTCCCAGACTACTCCCACAGACACACACACACATACACACATACATACACACAGACACACATACACACACACATACACAAATACACACACATACACACATACACACAGACACATACACACATACACACACATACAAATATAAAGATCCCCCATATAGCCTTAACAGACTGTAGGGGCAAGTGCTGTTAGCGAGCACCTATGAAGGCCGGAACGGTACACGAGGGGGTGGGTGGCCAGCACCACGCCCGACCGCCTTTGTCTCCCTAGTGGCAATGTTTACACACCGCACCAGGTACTCATTTGAGGCTGAGTCGACCTAGGGGAGGCCCGGGACCGGTTCAGATAATCGTCACATACACACACATACACACACACATACACACACATACACACACATACACACACATACACACACACACATACACACACACATACACACATATACATACACACACACATACACACACACATACACACACATACACACACACATACACACATACACACACACATACACACACATACACAACAACAACAACCGCCATTCGCCACTAAGTGGCGGTGACGTCACCACGACGCTTGTGCCAGGCTATGTGCACCCTGAGGCCACGTGAAGTGTCGAACGCCCGCTGGCAGGAGGTCACGGGGCAGACCCAGGTGCCACGGGTCGACTGACTGAGATGACTGGCTGATGCACCACCTGTGCCCCCTACTGTGCCAACCTGCTGTGCTTTAGCCACCCGGCGCTCCGCTCGTTGTTCTGAGCGTCGCTCCTCCGTCCTCCGTTGTTGTTGGAGGGCGACTGCCTCCAACTGCCCAGTAGCATCCTTCACGAGCCTCCTCCACAGAGGCCGATCTTGACACCGCTGGTACCAGTCATCGGCAAGTCCA